CCATAAATCAACTTATCACCATAAATCCTCATAGATCTCACCACCATCACAATCTAAGTGTTACCACAAATCAACATAAATCACCATAAATCCTCATAGATCTCACCACCATCACAATCTAAGTGTTACCACAAATCAACATAAATCACCATAAATCAACTTATCACCATAAATCCTCATAGATCTCATCACCATCACAATCTCAGTGTTACCACAAATCAACATAAATCACTATAAATCAACTTATCACCATAAATCCTCATAGATCTCATCACCATCACAATCTAAGTGTTACCACAAATCACCATAAATCACCATAAATCAACTTATCACCATAAATCCTCATGGATCTCATCACCATCACAATCTAAGTGTTACCACAAATCAACATAAATCACCATAAATCAACTTATCACCATAAATTCTCACAGATCTCATCACCATCACGATCTAAGTGTTACCACAAATCAACATAAATCACCATAAATCAACTTATCACCATAAATCCTCATAGATCTCATCACCGTCACAATCTAAGTGTTACCACAAATCAACATAAATCACCATAAACCAACTTATCACCATAAATCCTCATAGATCTAATCACCATCACAATCTAAGTGTTACCATAAATCAACATAAGTCACTATAAATCAACTTATCACCATAAATCACCATAGATCTAAACACTATCACGATCTAAGCGCTACCATAAAGCAACTTAAGTCACTATAAATCAACTTATCACCATAAATCCTCATAGATCTCATCACCATCACAATCTAAGTGTTACCATAAATCAACATAAATCACTATAAATCAACTTATCACCATAAATCACCATAGGTCTAATCACCATCACAATCTAAGTGTTACCATAAATCAACATAAGTCACTATAAATCAACTTATCACCATAAATCACCATAGGTCGAATCACCATCACAATCTAAGTGTTACCACAAATCAACATAAATCACCATAAATCAACTTATCACCATAAATCCTCATAGATCTAATCACCATCACGATCTAAGTGTTACCATAAAGCAACATAAATCACTATAAATCAACTTTTCACCATAAATCCTCATAGATCTCATCACCATCACAATCTAAGTGTTACCACAAGTCAACATAAATCACCATAAATCAACTTATCACCATAAATCCTCATAGATCTAATCACCATCACGATCTAAGTGTTACCACAAAGCAACATAAATCACCATAAATCAACTTATCACCATAAATCCTCATAGATCTCATCACCATCACAATCTAAGTGTCACCACAAATCAACATATATCACCATAAATCAACTTATCACCATAAATCCTCATAGATCTCATCACCATCACAATCTAAGTGTCACCACAAATCAACATATATCACCATAAATCAACTTATCACCATAAATCCTCATAGATCTCATCACCATCACAATCTAAGTGTTACCATAAATCAACATAAATCACCATAAACCAACTTATCACCATAAATCCTCATAGATCTCATCACCATCACAATCTCAGTGTTACCACAAATCAACATAAATCACCATAAATCAACTTATCACCATAAATCCTCATAGATCTCATCACCATCACAATCTAAGTGTTACCACAAATCACCATAAATCACCATAAATCAACTTATCACCATAAATCCTCATGGATCTCATCACCATCACAATCTAAGTGTTACCACAAATCAACATAAATCACCATAAATCAACTTATCACCATAAATCCTCACAGATCTCATCACCATCACGATCTAAGTGTTACCACAAATCAACATAAATCACCATAAATCAACTTATCACCATAAATCCTCATAGATCTCATCACCGTCACAATCTAAGTGTTACCACAAATCAACATAAATCACCATAAATCAACTTATCACCATAAATCCTCATAGATCTCATCACCATCACAATCTAAGTGTTACCATAAATCAACATAAATCACTATAAATCAACTTATCACCATAAATCCTCATAGGTCTAATCACCATCACAATCTAAGTGTTACCATAAATCAACATAAGTCACTATAAATCAACTTATCACCATAAATCACCATAGATCGAATCACCATCACAATCTAAGTGTTACTATAAATCAACATAAATCACCATAAATCAACTTATCACCATAAATCCTCATAGATCTAATCACCATCACGATCTAAGTGTTACCATAAAGCAACATAAATCACTATAAATCAACTTTTCACCATAAATCCTCATAGATCTCATCACCATCACAATCTAAGTGTTACCACAAATCAACATAAATCACCATAAATCAACTTATCACCATAAATCCTCATAGATCTAATCACCATCACGATCTAAGTGTTACCATAAAGCAACATAAATCACCATAAATCAACTTATCACCATAAATCCTCATAGATCTCATCACCATCACAATCTAAGTGTCACCACAAATCAACATATATCACCATAAATCCTCATAGATCTAATCACCATCACAATCTAAGTGTTACCACAAATCAACATAAATCACCATAAATCAACTTATCACCATAAATCCTCATAGATCTCATCACCATCACAATCTAAGTGTTACCACAAATCAACATAAATCACCATAAATCAACTTATCACCATAAATCCTCATAGACCTCATCACCATCACAATCTAAGTGTTACCACAAATCAACATAAATCACCATAAATCAACTTATCACCATAAATCCTCATAGATCTCACCACCATCACAATCTAAGTGTTACCACAAATCAACATAAATCACCATAAATCCTCATAGATCTCATCACCATCACAATCTAAGTGTTACCACAAATCAACATAAATCACCATAAATCAACTTATCACCATAAATCCTCATAGATCTCATCACCATCACAATCTAAGTGTTACCACAAATCAACATAAATCACCATAAATCAACTTATCACCATAAATCCCCATAGATCTCATCACCATCACAATCTAAGTGTTACCACAAATCAACATAAATCACCATAAATCAACTTATCACCATAAATCCTCATAGATCTCATCACCATCACAATCTAAGTGTTACCACAATCAACATAAATCACCATAAATCAACTTATTACCTTCAATCCTCATAGATCTCACCACCATCACAATCTAAGTGTTACCACAAATCAACATAAATCACCATAAATCAACTTATCACCATAAATCCTCATAGATCTCATCACCATCACAATCTCAGTGTTACCACAAATCAACATAAATCACCATAAATCAACTTATCACCATAAATCCTCATAGATCTCATCACCATCACAATCTAAGTGTTACCACAAATCACCATAAATCACCATAAATCAACTTATCACCATAAATCCTCATGGATCTCATCACCATCACAATCTAAGTGTTACCACAAATCAACATAAATCACCATAAATCAACTTATCACCATAAATCCTCACAGATCTCATCACCATCACGATCTAAGTGTTACCACAAATCAACATAAATCACCATAAATCAACTTATCACCATAAATCCTCATAGATCTCATCACCGTCACAATCTAAGTGTTACCACAAATCAACATAAATCACCATAAACCAACTTATCACCATAAATCCTCATAGATCTAATCACCATCACAATCTAAGTGTTATCATAAATCAACATAAATCACCATAAATCAACTTATCACCATAAATCCTCATAGATCTCATCACCATCACAATCTAAGTGTTACCACAAATCAACATAAATCACCATAAATCAACTTATCACCATAAATCCTCATAGATCTAATCACCATCACAATCTAAGTGTTACCATAAAGCAACATAAATCACCATAAATCAACTTATCACCATAAACCCTCATAGATCTAATCACCATCACAATCTAAGTGTTACCACAAATCAACATAAATCACCATAAATCAACTTATCACCATAAATCCTCATAGATCTCATCACCATCACAATCTAAGTGTTACCACAAATCAACATAAATCACCATAAATCAACTTATCACCATAAATCCTCATAGATCTAATCACCATCACAATCTAAGTGTTACCATAAATCAACATAAATCACCATAAATCAACTTATCACCATAAATCCTCATAGATCTCATCACCATCACAATCTAAGTGTTACCACAAATCAACATAAATCACCATAAATCAACTTATCACCATAAATCCTCATAGATCTAATCACCATCACAATCTAAGTGTTACCACAAAGCAACATAAATCACCATAAATCAACTTATCACCATAAATCCTCATAGATCTCATCACCATCACAATCTAAGTGTTACCACAAATCAACATAAATCACCATAAATCAACTTATCACCATAAATCCTCATAGATCTCATCACCATCACAATCTACGTGTTACCACAAATCAACATAAATCACCATAAATAAACTTATCACCATAAATCCTCATAGATCTCATCACCATCACAATCTAAGTGTTACCACAAATCAACATAAATCACCATAAATCAACTTATCACCATAAATCCTCATAGATCTCATCACCATCACAATCTAAGTGTTACCATAAATCAACATAAATCACCATAAATCAACTTATCACCATAAATCCTCATAGATCTAATCACCATCACAATCTAAGTGTTACCACAAATCAACATAAATCACCATAAATCAACTTATCACCATAAATTCTCACAGATCTCATCACCATCACGATCGAAGTGTTACCACAAATCAACATAAATCACCATAAATCAACTTATCACCATAAATCCTCATAGATCTCATCACCATCACAATCTAAGTGTTACCACAAATCAACATAAATCACCATAAATCAACTTATCACCATAAATCACCATAGGTCTTATCACTAAATCATCATATATAAAGTTATCATCGCCATTTCACTCTAGTTATCTACATGGACACCGCTGTGAGTCGCACCACTGTCGATTGGATTGATACGAGGCATGATGGCCTTCCAGGATGAGGAGAAGTTCCGCAACTTGGTGTGGCAGGTCCATCGAATGGTGAATCTGAACGGCTCATTTTTTATGGGTTATGATTTTTTCATATTGGTGAATAGGGGGTGAGAATGAATGATAATGGTTGATTCATGATAATGGTTGATTCATTAACCCATTATCATTCATTATCATTAACCCATTATCATTATAATGAATCTAATATATTGGGAATGATATTCCCAACTGACGAACTCATATTTTTCAGAGGGGTAGGTATACCACCAACCAGATGGTCAGAATAGTTATATGATCTAAAGATGAATTTCATCATGACCAAACACCGTCGTGACTTCCGGTCGCTTTCCTTCACCGTCGAAACCATCATGGTGAATGGTTTAGAATCATCCCCAAACGACCGTATGATAACAGCTATTTCCAGGTTGGTGAATATATTATACCCTTTGGTAAACTAATGGTGGTTTAATGGGGTTTAACCAACCAAATGGTGGTGTAAATGGGATTTACCCTCTGGTAATTTAACGTAGCTACTGAAAATGGCCATTGAAATAGTTGATTTACCCATTAAAGATGGCAATTGTCCATAGTTATGTAACAGTTTACCAGAGGGTAATTCAGCCAGATGGAATTTGCTAAGTTATAAGATATTGACGGTGATTTTGCTGATTGCATGCAGGTTTTTCGTGAGGATATTGCTGTAGGATATTCATGGTCTACATAACATTACATAACCAGATATCAATATGTTGTATATAAACAAACTTATCTAACATAAATCAAACATGGCAATTTGGAAGTCCCCGATATACAGATGATCCCATTAAAACCTCTATTTCTGGTTGAATTTCCGTTGTTATGTTTTGATTACCAGAGGATATTCATCATAAATCAACTATTTATCCCTATCTGAAATGACAATAGTGGGTATATAATAGAGTATGTTTGCCATATTTTTGGATATAACGTATAACCAACTTGATATGGTATTTGGGTTGTCCAAATTTCTGGCATTGAACCCCCTATGAAACGCTCCCAATACGAGACCATGCTTTGGGGATGATTCATCACATCGACCTAGCTGGGATGTTCAATATGCGCCGGGAATGCGATGAGATGCCCATATACAGGAAGATGGGGTCATTTCAGCTGGCATCGGTCTTGAAAACAGTGCTGGGAAAGAAGGCGTTGAAAAAGCAAAAGAATACTGTGACCGATTCTGCAAAAGTCAAAGAAAATGATTTGAATCCTGACACCCTTGCATTGGAATAAACAGCGTCATACACAGCCACCATGGGAAAGTGGAGGAAATATGCTTTTGAGACGGTGCAAGACATCATGTGGTACAAGTGCATTGAAATCATGCACAGGGCTCGTGAACCAACTATGCATTTCACTCACATTGTGCGCTCAAGACCGTCTACTGCTGAGCTTCAACAATTTGGAAGCCAATTGTGTCAGCTTGTGAATGGAAAGATGGATGTTGTGATGGAAGAGTTCAACTGGAATTTAACATAACTATTGAAAATCACCATTTTGAATGAGTAAATCAACTATTTCTATTGCCATTTTCAATAGTTATGTTACTTTACCAGAGGGTAGATTATATTGCTATGTTCCAATTGTTATCCAATTCTTGTAATGTGGTTAAAACAATGGGTAAACGAATCCCACCTATAAAAATGGTGATGACTGGGGGATGGTTTATTATTGATTTTATTGTTTTAACAACATTATAGTTTTTATTTACAAATCCATATACCTCCATGTTATTCCCATGTTGTTCCCACAGATCTCCATTATGGCACTGGTATCATATCCCCTGTGGTGATGCTGCACTGGACCTCAAGGCCGAAACCGTGAGCTGGAGTTGAAGCATGGCCGCATTTGTATCTTGGAGCGAATGGTAGGTGGAAAATGGGGCCGGTTTTCGGAAAAAAAAATCGCACATTTTAAGGAAAAGCGCAGTGGCTTAGCAAAGTCCTGATGAAATATGTCGAACTGGGTTTTTTCAGCATTAAACATCATCAACAAAGGGATACGACCCAGAAATGAGGTTCGGTGGTTATAGGAGGCTTGACTACAGTTTTACTGCCAGATATATGGAATGGCGTTGCAGGTTTTCAAGACCGCTCCAGTGAAAAGCCTGGAATTTTGCGGAAGTCCGTTTTGAACTAGGTGCACTGATAAACTTGGATAATAAGATATCTCTGTGGTGTATGGAGTTTCAATGCAGAATTTGAAGGAATGATCATATCATCACATGTTGAATCTCTGCTGAAATTAATTTCTTTACGTGGGATGCCACTTGCACATGTAGAAGCGACCATGGTTGGGAGCTCACTGGAACCTACGATGAGCTGGGGATGCCCTCCCTGGGTACGGTTGCAACAGGACAACGGCTGTGTAGATGAAGCTGGCTGAATTATAACCATGTCACAATGATGTCATTAGAAATCATATGAGGGTAACTATCCCAAAATGATCCAAAATGACCAGTAAAATTTGGCTTAGTGAGTTATCATAATCCAGATAGCTTGGGTGTTCCCAAGGAGGACAGATAAATCTCTCGGGGGTCAGCGAATCTGTTCGCCAGGCATGGTCGCAACCATCGGTTCCTTGGTTTCCATCCAGTCATGGGGATACCCGGCCTGGTAAACGATACAAAAAACCATGGAAAGATCCACCTAATTTTATAGTTGGGTAAATCCACGAACTAAATGGTCATTTTCAATAGCTACGTTAAATTACCAGAGGCTAAGTTCTAAAGCTGGCAGTAATGCAAACAATGTGCTGTGTGTCAAACCACTCATTTCCATAGTTTTTTTGATCAGGGATACAATGCCACACTCAACAAACCATGGGGGATAGGTGGTTGAGCCAATCATCCGATTGTTGACAAAAATTGGTGTCATCATCCTGTTTCTTAAGGTTGGAAAATAGGGATTTAAGTATATTTAAATGACTTAAGCATCAAAAGTAGGGATTTATGCTTGATTTATGGAAGAAAAAGAGGATTGAACTCCTAGAAGTGGACATGAAAAATCTCGGGAAAAATCTCACCGTGTCCAGTGCCACGGTGCAAGGCATGATCGTCCCGGATCTCTTTGGCAGGTTTAGCGGCTACCTGTCGCTTGGATCTGAAGATTCTGTGTGTTGTACAGGATGGGGCCCCCGTTCGTTGGATAGCGCTCAATTGCGGTTTATCGTAGTGGCTGAATTAACTATGGTTTATGGTAAATGTAACGAACTAGTTCATGGGCTTTACAAACCAACTTATAATTATAACTGGGGGCCATGAAATAAAGCAGCTTTTCAAACAGATGCAGGGTACCTCTGAGATTAGCCATTTGATGCCATCTGTCTATCCTGCCAAGGATGTTGTTGGATGACAGATGTCATGTGATCCCACACAATTTCTAAGCGGACAAGATGCCCTGCTTCGTTAGTAAATGGCCGATTCCTGGGGTGTTCTCACGTATGTATCTATGCACTCGAGTCACTTGAACACACTTTTTGTTGAAGACCATTCAAGACTCCATATGTGCAACATATCTTACCAACAAACAATGGATTGTTTTTGTTGGGAAAATCTTAACCGGAAACCATGGATTTTCCCATTAAGTATGAGGCTTTCCTGTAAAATTTCCCTTAAACCAATCTAATGATAGCTAAGTTAGTTATAAATTCCAACTTCAGGTTTATGGTAGCTACATCGAACTAGTTAATAATGGTTCATAAACCAACAAACACAATATATATATGATATAATCTATATAATATATCTAATATTATTTTATATTATAGTATATTATATGATACGATATGATATAATGTAATATAGTATAATATATATTTACATGCTGTACATACATCCTCTTAGACAAAGCCCTGGTCTTTGGGGTTGTGAATATTTGTGACCCACCATCAAATCCCCATTGGATTGGGGTCTCAAAATTCCGCACAAGCAGCATGTTTGTTATCGCTTTACCTTCATGTTTGCCATATTGTTCCTTGGTAAAATCATGGGGGAATTTTCCTCATATCCTCCCTGCAGTTATTGCCCTCAACAGTTGTAAATGGAATTATAGCCCCTATAACTAGTTGGTTTTAGATCCTGAAATAAGCCCATAAAAATAACTGTTGAGGGGCACTGTGGACTTCCCATTTATGTTTACCATCTATGTTTTTCTTGGTAGAATCATGGTAAAATTCATCAAAATTACCACATACCGTGGATGGTTGCGAAATCCTGCACCACCTGGGATGGTAGAAAGCCCAACAAAACCATGGGATGTTTACCACCTATTAACGGGTGCAGGATTTCGCAACTATCCACAGTATTGCGAAAATCTGACAGCCATCTCCCACTTCATTGAATTATAGTTAATAAACATCATTATGTGGTCATTAATATCCACAAATTAATGTTATTTGATAAAAATGTCCACCGTATTTCGCTGGACTTCTGATGCCATACTAAGGTCCCCATCCATGGACTTGAAGTTCACTGATGTCCCTTGCACCATCGAGGCTGTGTGGGCAAAGTTCAGCAGAAATTGTTGGTGAAAATTTGGGATACACTGGGGATATGATTTATATATATATAGAATAATTGAAGATTTCTGATTGAAGTTTGAAGACAGGAATAATTTTCAGATGTCTGATTGAAGATATTGAAGACATTGAAGATATTTAAGATATTGAAGATATTGAAGATATATAGATAATACCCCTTTACATTGCTTCAATAAACTGGGTCTACCCAAGTATCGTTTAGAACGATAATTATAGTCAGCCCAGGTGTGTACACAAAGTGTTCAAAAAAACACGAGAAAAAAAACTGATTTTATAGAAGGCTATTTGTAGACCATGTGTAAGCCAACATGTGGCTTATGACCAATTCAGGGGGACCCAGGAACCTGATTTTATAGAGAGGTTTTTTTGGCATGGTTCTGATTTGTTGGCTAATAGATTATGATTTTATAGAGGGGAGGTTTTCGGTACAAATTTGGTGTTATACGCAATCGCCGCATCGCATTAATATTGTTATGTTGGGGATTTTCAAGTCAAACCGCACTGAATGATACTGGATGAGCGCATTTTGATACATTTTGAACCCACTATAAAATCAAAAACCCAGGTCCACCTTATATTGTCATGCCTGCCAAACAGCTCCACTATAAAATCATAAACCAGGTTCCCCAATATTGAACATCCACATGGTTAAATAGACTTTGTAAAACCACAATTTTGAAAATTCTGATTTATAGTGGGCCAGGTGAATGACTTTAAGATACTCTAAGATTTCTTGATTTTATAGAGACATATTTCTTGCAATCTTATTTTTCCTGATTTTATAATGACTATTTGCGCGCACCCATATGGTGGAACCCCGGTACCTCTATAGAATGGGGCACATTGGGTGACAATTGAAATTCACAAGGGGGTTATAGATATTTAGATATATGATCAGAGCCCTGGTTGATTGGTTAAGGGGATTCAACGAGCATTTTCGGGCTTTGGAACATTCAAAATGGAGATGTAGGTGATGGTCAAATTAGTTGGATTTAATCATTGAAATTTGGGAGTGAATGGGATACTAAGGGCGATATCTCATGAGATACATAACCAACTACAATCAATACAGGATGGTGTGCCCGTTAAAAGTTGGTTTATAACCCCATCTAAATACAATTACAAGTATCATACTGTATTGTTATTATAGTTATGAACCAACCTAGCTAACGAACTGGGGCCCCATCTTGTAGATGGATTATGATTACCTATCAATTCGAGGGATGATCATCAACCATGGGATGGATGACCATACCTCACACAGAAAAAACATATCTTTTGACAATGGCATACATGGAAGTGAACGCCATGCTGGCCTGAAAACAATTTAATGGAGGCAATATCCCAACTTATTGGGGTACTGGATGATCAGTACAGAACCTGCGATTTTTGGTGCGGGAAAGATGGAGCTACCACATAAGCCACGAAAAAACCTCTAAGCAGCGTAGCAACAAACGACCAAGAAATGATTGAACTACCACGGCACAACTGTTGGGATCCATATTGAACTTCTGGAGTGGTTCAAACATGGTTTAGAAGCTTTGGTTCAATTGTTTTAATGTCTTGTTAATTTTGTCATTAGGGCAGTATACATTTATAAATATTCCCTAAAAGAGGTTTATATACCCTTGTAACCCGCAAGAAAACAGCAAGTTGCACATGATTGCTTCCGCTATCCCTTTGAAACATTTTGAAACACGTTTGCTTTGATGTCATAACATAATAACTATGTCTATGACCCAATTATATAAAATTGGAAGAACCCCATAATGTGGGGCATGCTTACTGACCACTTGTCCACAGATTGTCGCTTAAAACCACACATTTACTGGTTGAAACCCTTTTTGCAAAGGCTAGCTGGAGCTTTCGCATGTTTGCTTCGTGTATACCTCACGCAAATGTATATACATATTATATGTCTATATGTGTATGTATGTGTATATATATACATATATACGCGTTTAGGTTATACATTTACATGCTGGTGGCTGGGAAACCATACGTGCGTATTAGCAGTTTCGGGTGGGGTGGGGTGTAATAACGTTCATGTGCACTCGCACATTATGGTGATGCTACGCTATGAGATCGTCTCTAGCATTTGGGGTGGGGTGGGCTTGGGTGGGGTGAGGTGGTGTAATAACATACATGTGCACTTGCACTGACACCTAATGCTACACTGTAAGATCTTCTCTACCGTTTGCATTAACACCTGATGATACGCTGTAAGATCTTCTTTACCGTCTGCATTAACACCTGATGCTACGCTGTAAGATCTTCTCTGCCGTTTGCATTAACACCTGATGATACGCTGTAAGATCTTCTTTACCGTCTGCATTGACACCTGACGCTACGCTGTAAGATCTTATCTACCTTCTGCATGAACACCTGATGCTACGCTGTAAGATCTTCCCTACTGTTTGCATTCACACCTGATGCTGCGCTGTAAGATCTTCTCTATTGTCTGCATCAGCACCTGATGCTACGCTGTAAGATCTTCTCTACCCTCTGCATTCGCACCCGATGATACGCTGTAAGATCTTCCCTACTGTTTGCATTCACACCTGATGCTGCGCTGGAAGATCTTCTCTACCTTCTGCATTCGCACCTGATGATACGCTGTAAGATCTTCCCTACTGTTTGCATTCACACCTGATGCTGCGCTGTAAGATCTTCTCTACCGTCTGCAGCAGCACCTGATGCTACGCAGTAAGATCTTCTCTACCCTCTGCATTCGCACCTGATGATACGCTGTAAGATCTTCCCTACTGTTTGCATTCGCACCCGATGATACGCTGTAAGATCTTCCCTACTGTTTGCATTCGCACCTGATGATACGCTGTAAGAATCTGCAACAGAACATTCCTCAGGGCATTGCAGCTCGCAAAGACGGCAGAACGAACCCTGAGCTGTGGCAATACGCCACTCAATGGGAATGGCGCTGGGAGCACCATACTGTTGCTAACCTCAGCCGTGTCACCGCAGAGACTTTTCGTGCGACGTGAATATGTAAAAGAGCCGAAGACTCAAGATGACTTCTTAAAAGTGCCGATGTCTTTTAATTTTCCTATGGGCAAATTCACTACAAAAATGTGCATCCTGCTTGAACATGTTTTGGAACATAGTTCAAGAGACCTGGCAAAAACCACACAAAATGGAAGAAAAAAAACTTCCCCATGAAGTGAAGGACATAAACCAGAAAGGCACAAATTCTGATGCTGAGAAATTGCTGCAAAACCCAGCAAATGAATGAGAGGCACACAAAGCTGGATTCAGAAAAAAAACATCAAAACGCACGCGCGATCAAACATCCGGCGGGTATATATGTATGCATATAATTGTTTATTTAAATATATATATATATGTATATATGTATATATGTATGTGTATATTTATATATATGTATATATGTATTTATGTATATATGTATATGTATATATTTGTATATAGATATATGTGTGTATATATATATGTATATATATATGTATATATATATATATACATGTTTATATATATATGTATATGTATATATATATACAAGTTCAGATTTTACATTTACATGTTCATATGCATTTCGATATAGATGTCTCTGCATACCATATGTGATTTCATGCAATGTGGGACCCCCTGGATAGCTAAGTTGGTTTACAACTAGGTTAAGCATGGCTTATGGTAGATACATCTATAGTATTCATGGGGGTTTATAAGCCTTGTGTCTTCATGTGCTGACCTGCGCTGAGGATGAAAGATGTTGATAGAGATTCCAGGACAGCTCCACAAGGCGACGCCTTGCAGGTGCTTGGCATTTCGTCTGTGAAGAGCGAAACGGACCCGTGGCTCATCGATTCGTGCAAACGATGCAAATGAGCGGCCCCCTGAGAAGCGCCTGGCAGTGCGACTGACTGTCGCCGATGGCAATAGCTCGTGCACCATTGTCCTGTACCATTGACTTGTTGGTGAAGCTTATAACTAAGGCCCACAGTATCATTATACTATATTAGATAAATATATCATTATATATACATACATATATATATATTATATGTACATATATATATATATATATATCAGGTACAAAGTCATCCCAAAATGGCCTTAATTCAGGTTAGTGAAATATGATCATTTACCCAGATATATGTATATATATATATATACACAGCCATGTTCCCCATTTTTCGATCATCCCATCGTCGCTAGGCCATCTACAAGGTCCCCGCAGCGGGTTGGCTGCAGATCTTCGCCCTGGCGGGTGCCATCGAGGCCAAGAACCTGGCCTTCCCAACGAATTACGGTGCCGCGGTGCGGGTTGGGGTGAAAAAGGGTGTTGGAACCATGGAAAAATGGTGGTTTTATGGGAGTTGAAGGGATCAAAAAATATGGTTTGGATGGAAAAATTGGAAATTGAAAGCATGAAACATGGGGGAACATGGAAATATGGTGGTTTTATGGGATTTTCATATGATTTTAATGGGAAAATGATAATTTCATGGGATTAAAAATGATTTGAATAGGATTTCAATGGTGGAAAACCGGGAATAACCATGAAACATTGGTAAAAATGGTGGTGTAGATTTGAATGGGATTGGATGGGGATTTTCATGATGTGCATGGCCGGAAATCGGATTTATGGACATAATTGTGTATCAAATTTGTGCATGTATGTCTGTTTATTACACAATTATATTTTTATATGATATATGATACAAAATGATACAAATATATACACATTAATGATACTTGCCCATAGTTCTGATATATGGACATGTCTGTGCATTGGTATATACATTTTTGCATAAAGTATATTTTAAGGGAGGTAGCGGATTGGATGGGTTGTGATGCTTATTAAAAGATTTGTTCCATACCATTATGCAATGGTGTTACATTAACAATGTAATCCACAACACATTGGATGCATCTGGTTTGTATCCCACCCTCGATGATGGGAGTTGTTCCCCATATTTCAGATGTGCGAGGTCTTGTAATTCAGCCAGATAGATAAACGTATGCATAGGCACATGTATACGTATATACAGTATAATATATGGAGGTTTCCTGAAATAGGGGTACCCCCAAATCATCTACTGAAAAATCGGATGTTCCACTATAAACCATCCAGCTATTGTGGTACCCCCATCACTTTTTTAAAGCCTCATATATGCAATGTTGCACTATCCCGGCGCCAGAACTCATGTGCCATCCCTGCGACTTCTCGAGGCTACCCCCCCTTCTGGGGACAGATCAACAAGTTGGAGCCAGAGGCTCTCGGGCTCTCGGGGGCAGAAACCGCGAAGGTTTCTGAGAAATGGCAGCACAAATCACGGGAATGTATAAATGTGTATTATATATATATATCTATGTATATCTATGTATATGCAGATAGAATCTGGAATTCTATATATATATATATTATCCCGTCTTCCGCCAGCGAGGTCCCCCCCCCTCCCCCCCGAATGGGATGGGTCCCCAGGTAGCACCCCCACTTCCCTTCTATTTGCAAGCTATTGGCAGCATTTCTGAGGTCCAGCCTCGTATTTGCTAGGTTTTTGCAGCGATTCTGACTACCAGCCTCCCGTTTACTAGGTACATGCTACCCTTTAGACGACCTGCGTAGCACACATACTCCCTCAAAGTACCTACGTGCTATCTATAGTTATAGATACATACATATGTATATACATATATATTCATATTCGTATTTAAATAAATAAATAAATACATAAATAAATAGATAGATAGATAGATAGATAATATATATATATATATACGCAGTACCGCACCCCCACCACACCACACGGGGGGCGGGGAACATAGCTCCTGTATATCCATTCCCATCCCTACTACTAACTCCTACTAACTACTACTAACTACTACTAACCCCCCCCACCCCCTACCCACCCACAGGGGGGGCGGGGAACATAGCTCCTGTATATCCATACCCATTCCTACTACTAACTGCTACTCACTACTACTAACCCCCCCACCCCCTACCCACCCACAGGGGGGGGGCGGGGAACATAGCTCCTGTATACCCATACCCATTGCATGGGAGGGGGGGGGGGACCTGGGAGGCTGCATCATATATATATATATATATAGATATATATGTATGTATAATGGCATATGTGGGTTTTGCCCTCACAGAAATTTTCACCAATGAATAACAGTGCTATGGGTGTAAAATGGCGTATACCTTCAAAACGGCCACTGAAATAGGGATGCTGATGATTGCAGCGATGGATTTAGGGATACCCGATTCTCAGACGCACACATGTTTTTGCCACAAAAATGCTGGTGAATCTTCATGTGATTTTGATGCTGTTGATTGTTAAGTATAGTATGTTGTTCAAATGTTTTTCAATGCAGCAGGGAGTATTGTAGCGACCTCGGAACAACCTCAACATAAATGACGGGTTTACATATATATATATACATATATACATATATATACATATATATATATATATATACAGTGAATCATAAAAAGGCCAACATGTCTGATTTGCCCAGATAGCGGATTAGCCATTCTGCACCCTACTTGAACGTGCATCCACAGAGTTGTAGCTGGTTTACAAACCATGTAACTTGGTATCCGAACTGACTCGAGTTGTTTGCCTTGCAAACCACTTATCATCTGTAGTTTGCAGATCCAAGTACATAACCCCTTTTTTTCCTGCAGGTGCAAACCCAGTTACAATGGGTTCAAGTGGGTGTAGCTGACTATGGAGCCCAGCTTGTGAAGACCTACAGGAACACCAGTTTGCCACATTGAGTGGCAATGAAACATGCGTAGTACGGGTTTCCTAAAAGACATACCCTCTGGTAAACTAACATCACTATGGAAAGATCCACCATTTTTAATGGGTAAATCAGCTATAAATGACCATTTTCAATAGCAAACTGTTAGATTACCAGAGGGTAACAACCATGTTCAACCATGTTCCTCAAATTTCGGAGTGGTTGTCGCCAAGAGGGGTTCCGTTCCGTTGTGTGGTCCCAACGTGTTTGAGATGACTTGATGCCCCCTGAAATGCTGTTCCATGCAGGAAAAGCAGAAGAAACTCCTGGCCGAAACTTGGCTTTTCTAAGGGATCCCATAAAATTCCGGGCTAGAGCAGTGGATATATATGTAGTGCTGCTGGATATATGCCTCTCTTGGGTTGGACACTATGATGGAACGCAACCGGCGGCTTCCAGGCTACAGACAGGCTGATCCAGACCGGATTTTTGTGGAAAGGGCATCGGTTCAACCTCACTGCCAGAACCGATGCGGCTTGCGACCGAAAGCCAAACAGGCATCAGACCCACAGCCGTAGAGGCATCAGGAGAACACGAAGAAGACGCTTAAACCTGTGGCAACTACAATGGCTGGTGATTTTTCTAACATACTCGACATTGCCTTCTGGATTCCCTTGTAGTGGCAATTTGGGGTTAGGCATGTCTTCCGGTAAATTGATGTACACCACTGAATCATCACAATTTGCTGCTGTTTGAAATCGCTTTTGATACTGGTTGGGCTCTTAGTGGTTTGGGCTTTTCAAGCACATTTCAAAGTTTCAACTCGTGCTTGAGTTTGTATTAAAGATATTCAGTGGGGGAATCACAACAGACCATCCCAAAGTTGTGATTTCTTATAGTTTTCATGATGGTTAATGATGCTTGTTAATGATTAATGATGATTCATGGTGATTCATGATGGCTATATATATATACATACATATACTCCTACTTCTGATGATTCCCCTGGTTTGCAAAAGCCTCCAGTGGTAGACACATTTGTTCATTGTCCCGGATCCCACCTTTGTTGGTTTTGGAGCTTTGAGACCCGGTATTGATAGGTATTTTGCTTCTTGTATTCTCAGAAAATTTGATGTGACGAATAGAATCTGGTTGGTGGGTTGGTGGTTTGGAACATGATTTTTATTTTCCATTTCATATATGGGATGTCATCCTTCCCATTGACTAGTATTTTTCAAAATCGTTAAAACCACCAACCAGGATAGAATTCATGAGTACGAAAAGACAATGGAAAAGACCAGCCATGATGCGTCCATACCTCCTGCAATTCTTGTGGAGAATCCACATCCCAGATGGAAAAAATAAAAGACAGCTTCCTCCTGCCACTTATCTTGCCCCTTGCTCTTGCCGCCTTCATCTGGACATTTTTTGTTTTCTTGCGGGGGAGCCCTTCGCGGACGGCTCCTGCTGGTCTGCTGGCCCAAGAAACCGTCACCAAAATTAGGGCTGCTAAATAGCTGCTTTTTTGGTGCACCAAAGGCATTCCCTAATAGTCTGGTTCCCTGATGCCTGGTGCCTTCTCCACCCGTATTCATGCATATGAATGAATCCACAGGAATTTTTGGGATATCATTGTAATTTACCTTTTGCGTTGCATGAATATATGTTATTATCATTTTTTGTCACTGAACATTCTCAGTGTCTCATATTTGGATGTAGAAATTCAAAAAATGTCCACAGTTGATCCCCATGTGCATGCAGTAACTCAGCGAAGAAACACACAAAATGACATACTTATCATAGCTCATATTCCAAAATATATCCAAGATGATGCACATGGATGAGCTACCCTTCATTCCCTTTTGTATTTTGTTGTATGTTTGAGGTCGATACCCCCTTTGGACCTTCCCAGGCTATATAGTAGCAAGAGAAGTTTGAAGGGAATGAGTGTATTGTGGCCACAGGCTGGGGCTGAATTTACCATGAATCAACTTGATGTGTAAACCCCCTCACTCCAACGTGGGGCTCCCTAGATAGCTCACTTGACTTATAACTTGGTTAACTTTACCGTTTATCGGTGGTGTAACTATAATTAATAGGTTTATAAACCAACAAAAATGGGGTTTAGTGTGAGTTATAGCTGGGTTTGTGATGGCTAAGGTGGTTTTATCACACCAATAACTAGGGTTTAGAGGTGATGTAACTATAGTTGAAGGGGGGGTTCAAACAAACTTATAACTAGGAGGCACAATTTTAGGACACTAATTAGCCACAAACCGTTCTTGGGGGACAAAATTGTAATTCCCACCTCATCGTATTGCGAAGGGCATAGGCCATCTTTGAACAAAGCGAAATCGCTTCCATACCATTTTTGGATGGTTCAATCGAAATGTTGTGGTGGCTAAACCTCATTTGGATGGTTGAACCAAAGGCTGAACCAAACCAATGGTCGAATCCCCCTTTTTTATGATTGAATCTTGATTGTCGATGGTGCAGCTACACTGTTTGCAGGAATTCATTCATCATTGCTGCTGGTAAACCACAATGTTTGATGGTTAAATCCACTTCCGTGCCATATGGGTATGGGTCAAATTCGGTACCTCTAAAAATGGATGTGTCCGCCTTTGACTAAAATGTGCTGTGTGACAGCGGTAGAGACAACCAGCTATGCGTGAAATCCCCACCCATGATTGTGGGATCGAATGCAGGGTGGATACACAGGTGCCGATCCAAAAATGGACGGTTCAGACTGAAAATAGACTCAAACTGATGGTCAACCATGGTAAACCCACCATTTTGGCTGGGTCAACCTCTATGTTTGCTAGTAAGACTATGTAAAAACAACCATATTCCCTGGAAAAACGATGTAAAATCCCCCAATTTTTCCATGGTTTTCACCACATCCATCGCGTCTGTAAGGAGATCAACAACGGGCGCCTGGCCATGATCGCCATGGCCGCCATCGTGGCGCAGAACGGAGCCACGGGGCAGAGCTTGGTGGAGCAGTTCACCACGGGCAACTTGAAACTTGGAGAAATATTGGTAGATTATTCCATTATAACAATTATTCCATTGGTATATCATTAGTGGGTATAGTGGACTATAGTGGACTATAGCGGACTATAGTGGACTATAGCGGACTATAGTGGACTATGATGTTATAGGAATATTAATTGTTAATATTATTCATCATTCCATTATTCATTATTGGTTTATTATAATGGACTATATAATTGGTTATAGTGGACTATATAATTGGTATAATAACCTATGATAACCTATTATCCTATTGGTATATCATTATTGGTATATCCCATTATTGGAGAATATTCCCAAGGCTTATCATTAGTGAAAGATTGATGTTGTTTTTTATCAATACATTTGATGAGATGGTTCCATTATACATTGGAAACATGATATACTATATTTTATAACGAGATAATGGTATAGTATTCCAGTTCTCCAATGATTATTCCATATTAGTGGGATAATAGTGGGATACTGTACCAGTTATAGTGGAATATACTGTCCAGTTATAGTGGATTATTCCATTATTCCATTACAACCTGTGATAACCATTTACTAATAATCCATTGGTATTAGGGTACTAATTGCTAATATTATTGGTAGATTCTTCCATTATAACCTACTATCCCATTAGTGGTATATAATATATATCATGGATAATATTCCTAATGGGATAATAGGTTATAATAGGTTATTCCAATTATCCCATTAATATCCCATTATTGGTTTATATCCAAAAAAATGGTATAACCGATTATAACCTATTATGATGCCAGTTTATATCAAAAAAAATGTATAACCGATTATAACCTATTATGATGCCAGTAATATGATTCCATATTAGTGGGTATAGTGGACTATAGTGGACTACAGCCCGAGCGCTGGTGAAGAATCCGAAAGCTTGAGGCCCAGGGTCCCTCAAATTCTTATTTTTAAATGCAGGCAAATTTACACCACAACAGGCTGAGGGTCCTTCAAATTCTTAGGGCGTTCTTAGTTTTGTATTGCAGGCATCTGCATAATTTGCAGCAAGCAAAAGTGAGGTAACAAGGTGGAGTTGGCAGATTTGACAAGAGGCTGCGAAAAAAGGATTTTCTAGAGCCTGAAAAGTTGTTTTTTTGCAGAGCTGGGCTGGTCTGAGTTTCATAAGGCTAGTGTGCAAAAAACATTTTTTTAGAGCCTGAAAAGTTGCCTTTTTGCAAAGCTGGGCTGGTCTGAGTTTCATAAGGTTAGTGTGCAAAAAACATTTTTTTAGAGCCTGTTTTTTTTTTTGCAAAGCTGGGCTGGTCTGAGTTTCATAAGGCTAGTGTGCAAAAAACAATTGTTTAGAGCCTGAAAAATTGTTTTTTTGCAAAGCTGGGCTGGTTTGAGTTTCATAAGGTTAGTGGGCTGGTCTGAGTTTCATAAGGTTAGTGTGCAAAAAACATTTTTTTAGAGCCTGAAAAGTTGTTTTTCTGCAGAGCGCTGCTTCCGTAAACTTTGTTGCTTACTCTAGCTAATCTTGTTGTTGATTGCCTTGTTTATGGAAAAGAAAGCCCAGATTCCATAGCTCAGTTGGTAGCGCATCGGGCTAAGGTCCTGGGGTCGCGGGCTCAATTTCCGGCATTGTCCTTTGGACCGGGTTTTCTGGTAAACAATGTTCCAGGTCCGAATTGGAAGCACTCCAAAAAAAACAATTTTTCGGAGCTTGAAAAATTGATTTTCTGCAAAGCCTCAGTTTTCTTCAAGTTATTAAAGAAAACCATATTTCAGGTCCCCAAGTCTACCCACATATTGATTTTGTGGATTGGAAGCAGTCCAAGCATGCGCGAAAACAAATCGAGCCTGAAAAGTTGTTTTTCTGCAAAACCCGACTTCACCCCATAAGACCATATAAGGGATCATGCCGCAAAAAAAAAGAAACGCAAAGGGGAATTGCAAACCTCACGTATAAGGAGTAACTTAAGAATTTGCCAATACTATTCCAGGGTCCCTCAAATTCTTAAAGTCCTATTTGTTTAGTACAACTGAAAATATGTAGCCCGCCTTGGATTCGAGCCCCTCAAATTCTTATACAGTGAATTCTTGTACAATACTCAAGCTGTATACCAGTATAGTGGACTATGATATTATAGGAATATTAATTGTTAATATTATTCATTATTCCATTATTCACTATTGGTTTATTATAATGGACTCTATACTTGACTATAGTGGACTACAATTGGTATAATAACCTATGATAACCTATTATCCCATCGGTATATCATTATTGGATATCCCATTACTGGTACATCATATATCATTGCTGGATAATGTTTTCCCCATGGTATTTATCATTAGTATCATTATGAGGAGATATTGGTAGGTCATCCCCATGGTGGAAAGTCCGCTCTCCAATAAATTATAATAGAGTCCACCTGGTGAAAAATATCATACACTCATTGGAGATATATACATATGTGTATATTCTACTCTATATATATATACTGGGATATTGGTATACTGTACCATTTTAGTGAAATGTATTATTTCAATAATACTAACAATCCATTGGTACTTACTATGATGATTTCCATGGTGGAAATAACATTAATTATGAGAGGTATACTAATAATAATACTAATGAAGCTTTCACACTGGTATAGTCCATGGTGGAATATACTGTCCAATAATAATACTGATGGACTATACCAATATATCCTCGTAATTCGTATATAATGGACTATAGTTGACTATACCGGTATTAGTATTGGCTGGTATATGATTTTTGGATATCCCATTTTATGGTTCCATTATCGTTCCATTAATTTGTTAGACCATTATCATGCCATGAACTTGGGTATTATTATCATTGTTGTTATCATTTTTATTGGAATATAATGAGGTAATATGTTTGTAAAACAAGAATGGCATTATGAAAATGAATAGGGATAAATTAAATAGGGGTTGTACTACAATTTGTAATTGGTATTATAAATAGGTTGTATTATATATAATGTAATTCAAGTAATGGGGATAAAATAACCGAGCTATAATGGATACAATGGATATTATATTATTGGTATTGCCATTATTGAAATATAATTGGTATATTGGCATGTTCCATTGTAATATACTAATATTGTAATCCAGTAAATTTTTGGGATCAGAACCATAGCTATTGAATTTAGCTATTCAAAATAGTGATTTCTATGGCTATGTTAGTCTACCATGAGGTAATCAGAAATATCAATCAAATAGTATAACAACTGGTTGGTGGTTTCGAGCATGAATTTCATTTTCCATTTCATATATGGGATGTCATCCTTCCCATTGACGAACTCCATCATTTTTCAAGATGGTTATTGCACCACCAACCAGACAATCATCAACCATCAGTGGATCATTGATTAACCATCAGAATGGTAATATCATATTATTGATAATACTGATTATATATTATACCAATGATGGTTAATAATAGTATATCAATAATGATATAATAATGGATCATTGATTAACCATGAGTATTAATATCATTGGTATAAGAATATACTAATGTCAGAAGCGCTGGACTGAAGATGGCGCCTTGTTACAACTTTGTCTGTGGAGAATACGTTCGGCCGGTGGTGCCCCCAGCCAGTTGTGTTTGTTGGTATATAAAGCATAGCAACTATAGAGATAACTATCATAAACCCAAGTTATTTAACTGAGCTATATATCTATAGTAACTGTTTTTTATACCAACAAACACAAACTATAAACTAACTTAGTAACTATATTAAGCATAGTAACTACAAACGAACTTAGCGATTCCGAACTGGGGCACCAGATCTTGTTGCGATCTGCAGAGAACCATTGGATCAACCAGGGATTGTTTTGTAAATTTCTGGGAATAATTGTGAATTGGGAGTTGATGCATAACGGACAGATGCAAATTTGAAACTAGGCGAAATGCCCTATCTTGAATGGGTTTAATGAACGCAACTGGTTGTTGAACCATCAAAAATGGTGATTTAACCTGGCAAAATGCCTAACTTGGAGGGTTCAGACGGGTAAAACCAGGTTTAACCATGGGAATATGGTGTTGAAGCATGTTGCACATTCAAACGTGGAACGCAGTTTCATGGCCTGAACTCAATGCTTGCGATGTGTTTTAACTCTCCAGATGGACCCCCCTTGATGAAGGGAAACCTGCTCACCACTCCAAGGAATCCTTACATTGGTGGCTACGCAGTCAAGGACACTTTCTCTGGGTCAATTGGTAGCCTTGTTGATATGGTTTGTTGATATCTGGTTGGTGGTTTGGAACATTTTTTATTTTTCCCCATATTGGGAACAATAATCCCATTCGACCAATGTTTTTCAGAGGAGTTGAAACCACCAACCAGGGTTTGTTGATATGGTTCACCTGTTTGTGTTTTTGTTTGCTGGTTCGTTTGTTTGTGTCAAAGCTTTTGACAACAGGCATGGCAAAGGGACTGGAGATTAACTTGCACAACAGACATGGGCTCTATATATATAGGTCTACAGGTTGATTGGGAAGTAAATCCCACATTGGCAGGTTAACACATAGATCCCTCTAATCACAATAGGAATCAAAAAATGACAAAAACACTGACATGTTCATGGTCCCGCAAGAATGACAACATGATCTTTCTCCACCATCCATACCAACCGCCAGACTATTCTTATTATCATCATCATCATCACCATCATCATCGTAATAGTCATCGTCACTTCAATCCCGAAAGTATCTTTAAAAACAAAAAACTCATAAACCCAAATAATTCCCAATAAAAAGTGATTGCCTGAAATCCCAATACCATCTGGTTATTTAACATAGCCATGGAAAATCACCATTTTTAATAGGTAAACCATCTACAAATGGGCCATTGTCCCTGGCTATGTTAAATAACCAGATGGTAGATCTCAATCAGTCCCAATGAATATCAATAAATAAGACAACAAAAGAACACATCAAATCCAGGAAGGAACACATCATTTGTAAATCTCGAAAAATCCCCTGCCCAGGAGACTGGCGACCGCCTGGCGATGAGGGCCAACAGTGAGGCTTTGCCCTGGGCGCCGGTGCCTGAAGGACGCACCGGACTTCAGGGTGGCACCTCGAAATCATCGGAAAAAACCATGGGAAAAAACCCATGGGAAATGTCAAAATCATATTGGAAAACCATGGGAAAATTGTGATTTACCCAGCCACACTCTGGATTTCGTAGGGTTTATAGCTGATGTATGATAGCCTATCCCATTGTATAGCTTTCATTGATAGCTATACAATGGGATAATCCATGGGAAAGCCATCCAAAACCGGGGTGCATTCATGGGGATATGAGAAGTCGATGCGAGGTGGGGCCCCCGGTTTACAACAGCTACCCTCTGGTAAACTATACAAAAAAACTATGGAAAATCACCATTTTTTATGGGTAAATCCACTATAAATGGCCATTTTCAATAGCTATGTCAAATTACCAGAGGGTCAATTGGGCAAAAAACTCCAATATTTGTTGGTTTGATACTGATTGTAATGATACAATGTGGCCCCCCCTAGTTGTAAGTTGGTTTATAACCCCATCTAACTAGTTCGTTATAACTACCATAAACTCTAATTATTGTAGTTATAAACCAACTTGGCTATCAAACGGGGGCCCACATTATAGTATTCATGGGGTGTATAAAGCAAGTTATAACTGGGCCACCTTGTATGATTCACCAGTAGATTCAGGGCTACCGTGTTTTCAGACCCAATTTGATGGCTTATGATTATTTTGGGGGAAATAAATCAAAACTGATGGTTTATTCATGATGGTTTGTGATGGTTGGAGCTTGTGATAATTTGTGATTTATGAAGGTTGAACAAATGGAGAAAACAATCCCAAAATTCTGCCAAAACAGGCATAGAACTGAGATCTACAACTGTCATACGTACATAAAATGCTGGGATATCTTAGCATCCAACTGTTGGATGATTGGACCCATGCTAGCTGCAGGACTCACCAACGACATCTTTGGCCCTTATGCACCTTGACTGCGGGGTTGCCAACTGGAAAGCTGCCTGTGGCTGTCCATAGGTATTCGTGAAATCCCACGATTTCGGGGTGTTTTCAAATGTGTTCAAGCTCTTTTTCAAGATTAAAACATCAACTGGTTGGTGGTTTGGAACGATGGAATTTTATGAATTTCCATTCAGTTGGGAATATAATACTGTAATCCCAACTGACGAACTCATATTTTTCAGAGGGGTTCAAACCACCAACCAGTCAAAGACTCACTTATTTTGAGAAGGTTGCCGCTTGAAGGCTTATAAAATGAACTTTGAACTTTGAACCGCAAGCGACCTGGAAAACATTCCCACTATTTCTCAATTGTATTGGTTAACAAGGTAATTCACGAAAAAATGCGACAAGCTCCCTAGTTGATTGTTGCCTTAACAAACCCATTGTAATCAATAGAACCAACAAACACTTGAATAATCTTGATTATAAGTTGGTTTATAGACCCATGTAATTAACTACCAGTATATAACTATTATAATCCCACTCAACCAAAATCAAAACTTGCTGGAACATGCACAAAACCGTCAATTTTTAGTTGGGCCGTCGCATGCTCACGGTGTCACGCTCGCACCATGAATTAGCAAGAAACCCTGGCAGAGAAAAGGTATATTGATTTATAAACTATACATAGATCCCAACGTGGTTAAAACGATAAGTTAACCTGAGAGTGGATAGATTCAAATAGACAGGTTAATCTCAGTAGTTGCTAGATTGTCCCAACAATATCATGGTTTATAATCACCAGTTGGCTTGACCTAGGCAAATAAACCAACTTAGCTATCATAAATCATATACAAACCAAGCGATAGTTCTATTCTAAGCTATAGATATATCCATATTTAACACCATGGCAGTTGAGCTAGTTATCTAGATCCCAAGTTTATTCTGTGTGTGGCACTGTTCAAGTTGATTCTGGTTTTAAAACAATTGCTTTGTAAAGCCCATGAACTCTGGAGATGTCCATTAAACTATCCATATATCATACAAAAAGCTATTGAAAATTGCCATTTATAGTGAGTTTCCCACTAGAAATGGTGATGCTCCATAGTTATGTTAGTTTACCAGAGGGTATGTCATGGGAATGTCATGGGAAATATCTGGGTAAATTTAATCACGATCGAACCCTGTTCTCCATAGCCCTGGAATCATGATTAATATATGGGGAATCATCCCCTTTTATGGCCCTTCACTATTCAGCTTAGTGAATGATTCCCCAATTCCAATGGACTATGATCATTGTTCCATGAAAATTGCAATGTGTAGGTATCCCCTATTTTGAGGGCAACCTATCTTTAGTTATTATAGTAACCCGATGAAAACCCCATCACCTCCAGTTATACATTAAAAATTAAAGCCCATCCATATATTAATATATAGTTATAGTCTATGATATTAACTATAGTCTATGATATACAGTAAAGTCCATAATCGATGATATAGTCTATGATATTGTTATAGTCTATGATATCAACTATAGTCTATCATATACGGTAAAGTCCACAATCTATGATATAGTCTATGATATTGACTATAGTCTATGATATGAACTAGAGTCTATGATTTACAGTAAAGTCCATAACCTATGATATAGTCTATGATATTGCTACAGTCTATGATGTTAACTAATAGTGTATGATGTATGATATTGTTACAGTCTATGATATTAACTATAGTCTATGATATATATATATATATACAGTAAAGTCCAAAATCTATGATATAGACTATCTGGTTGGTGGTTTCAAACATTTTTTGCATAATATATGGGATAATCCTTCCCATTGTCTTTCATATTTTTCAAGATGGGTTAAAACCACCAACCAGCTAGAAAATCGCAATTGTTAATAGGTATACCATCTATAAATGGACCATTTTCCATGGCTATGCTAAATAACCAGAGGGTATATATAGATATATTTAACATTGGTTAATATATCCATATGGATATATATATATATATTTCATGTATTTATTTATTTAACCCTCATGAGATATTTAACCATTGGGATATATGGATATGAGGGTCTCCAAAAATGGAGGTACCAATGATGGTTAATGATAAACTCCCCAATAATGATAGTACAATAATGAATCATTGATTAACCATGATTACTATCATTGGTATAATCATATACTAATGTCATCAACCATCAGTGGATCATTGATTAACCATTAGAATGGGAATATCATATTATTATGATGATGTTATTAATGATTAATGATCATTATTCCATAACCCATTATTATATGTTAACCATTAAATTAATGATGATATGTTAACCATTAGATTATTGATAGTTATTAACCATCATTATTAACCATTATTAACCATCATTATTATACCATTGATAATATAATGGTTAGTTATCAAATGATGATATATTATACCAATGATGGTTAATAATACCAGCTTTGACATTTCGCCTCCGACAATTCCCCGCAGCTCTCCGAGCGCTGCCAGGTGGGCGATGCCGGCTTCGACCCTGCAGGCTTCGCCAAGAACCAGCGGCTGCTGCCATGGTACCGCGAGGTGCGACCAGGGAGAGAAAGTGTACCCCCCACGAAACCATAGGAAAACCATAGGAAAACCATAGGAGAACCATAGGAAAACCATAGGAAAACCATAGGAAAACCATGGGAAACCATAGGAAAACCATAGGAAAACCAGAGGAAAATGGAGGTTTTAATGGGAAAACCATAGGAAAATATAGATAAATCACCTATAAAATCGGTGGTATGTTTACCATTCCCGGTTTTTTGGGTGGTTGATTATGGTTTTACCCACATTTTTGGTATAATTATTCCAGTGTATGATAACAATAATAAAACCGACAATCAGATAGTATAACCCACAATCATCAACCATCATTGGATCATATGGTGGTTTACTGCTTGGTGGTTTCCTACGAAATAGTGATTTAATGGTGATTTACTGATGATTTATATAATGATGATCAGTAATTAACTAGCAATACCACAATAAATCTAGGTCAAACTTAGATAGGTACTTTAATCCCAACTAGTCTTTTGGTATTAACGGGTTTACCTACGTTCACCAGCAAAGAATTTATTTTTTTGCAGGGTATCTAAGATTGGCCATGCCCAGTCATGGCACTTTGAGTCGGGAAAATGATGTCTAACCAATGGATTTAGAGGTCACCTATTTCAGACAAACCCAGATGCATACAGAAGAATGGGAATATATGGGATCATTATCCCTAATTCTGACCAAAATTGACTGGTATACAATTTCTCATGAACTGATACTGCGGAGGAAATCCTGCACCAGTTGGTAACTATTGGTAACTATTGGCAATTATGAAGCACTGCAAATAATGGGATTGCAATGGGATGTTTACCAGTACCAACTGGTGCCAGGTTTCCTCCAGAGTTTGTTTCGGAACCAGAACTTTCAAGGACTGTTAACTAGGCTTCATTGGAACTGCGAAAGAACTGGAAAACAGGGCTGGAAAATCCACCATTTGTATATGATCCCATTGAAACCACCATGGCTAGTTCGAAGATTTCCCATTGCCATATTTGGCTTAGCAGGTTACCTGCTTGCTCGAAACTTTTTTGGTGCAGCCGGGCTGCACCTTGCGAAAACGACGCTCTCCCTGAACTTCCAGTCACAAAGGATCGAACCAATTCCTCAGCATCAGTTATCAGTCGGCGATACTCGTCCGATCAAAAATCCTCGGTCCATCGGTGCAATGTTTTCAGTCATGACAATTGCACAAAAAAAAGGACGGCGAACATGATTCTCGCAATGAGTCACTACGTGCAACTTGCATCTCTCTCTCTCTCTATATCAATCTATCCATCCATCCATCCATCCATCCATCTATCTATCTATCTATCAATCTATCTATCCATCCATCTATCTATCCATCCATCTATCTACATATATATATATATATTAGACGTCCAATATATACCCCTGTCTGGAAATCTACGCCTGGGAATAACTACTTCAGTGACAGCAACGAAGATCTGGCAGCTTGTCAAGTGGGGGCCTCCTGGCCGTGGCCAAGGAAAACATGGCCGCACGATTGACGAGTGAGTTTCAGTCACTTGGTTATTTAACATAGCCATGGAAAATGGCTCATTCATAGATGGTTTACCTATTGAAAACGATGATTTTCCATGGCTATGTAAAATAACCAGATGATTTAGATCCAGAAAATCGCCATTCTGAGGTGATAATGTTCCTCTTCTTTCTGGCTTCCATGAGACATGATGGTTTTTTTTCATTCGGATGCCATGACGGTCTCCTATCAGGGGATAAGCAAATTGAGTCCTAGTAGGACGATTGATTTTTACCGTAACCATGATTAATAGATCTTGATGAAGTAATAGGTTCTGACGGTTAACAATAACCATAAATAAATTAATTGTTACTTATTAATTATGTAACCTATTGGTTATTCATGATCTATTGGTTAATAGATCAACTTATCTATTGATGGTTGAATAAATCATGACTTATGCAACGATAATTATGTTTAATAATAGCAGATATGATAATTCATAAACTAATCAGAACCATAAATAACCATAAATAACCATGGTTATTAGTTTAAGGTTAACCTTGCCTGCTCAGAGGTATTCTGAGGAGCAGCGAGCTTACGGGTGTGAGGAGGCCATGCAGCACTTTCGAGAAACGCCCCGGAGCTTCGGCTGCCGAGAGGCAAATTTGGATCGCGAAGCTGGAGCAAAGTGCAGTTGAAGGCGGAAACGAGCAACAAATCTCCCAAAGAATCGGCTTCTGCAGAGGACATCCCTGATAATATATATATATACACACTTTTACAGTTACAGATATATATATATAATTAGCACATATATACATCTACACATCTACACATGGTGGAACAAACAACTCTAATAACATACAGTACATCCCCAATCCTACTGCTGACATGTTCAGGCCGAGCTGGCTCACGGCCGTGTGTGCATGTTGGCCACCCTGGGCCACTGGGCGGAGTTGATGCTTCAAACTTGGGGTGAACCAATGATCCATGGGTTCAAGTGATGCTGAAAAACGATGAAAAATGGAGGTTAGAGCAACTAATGTCCACCCCGGATTAATAAACCATGGTTTATTAATTAGGGGGGTACTCCCCAAATAGTCATAATCTGATACTTGAATGGATTGTAGGCTTCAAGACATTGGTGTAGTGGTAAATACGGACAAAGCCATGCCCATCAAAACCGCCGAGGTTACACCGTCCAGACTTCCGGCGCGAAGTTTGAGCCCTTCATCACGTGCCTTGTCTGAGGGAGTTCCTCCAAGGGGAGAGTACATACCTTGGGAGCCATATGGAACCCCGGGCTATGTTTGATATTGAGGGGATGTGTTTTATATACTTTCTGGTTGGTGGTTTGGAACATTTTGTTTTTTTCCATATATTGGGGATAATCATCCCAGCTGACTAATATTTTTCAGAGGGCTTGAAACCACCAACCAGCTTTAGGGATGGATTCGAACCACCAACGACTTATAATTCAAAGACGAAGATGAGGATCAGTTTCAAAGTTGTTTTGTTTTGACAGGTATCATTTATATGAGTGAGCGGCTGAATTTCCGATGAACCAACCAAACCACAGATAAGTCAAACAAGATGGAAAAACCTCTCAACTATCAAAGTTGTTCCAATACTACAGCAAAATCCTCCATTGTAACAAGTAAGCATAATCCATCAAGTCCAATAGAAAAACCAAGAAGAAGATATCCTTAAGTAAACTTAAGTATAGTAATCATACACATTAGTTGCTGAATAAGTTCATTCCTCGAGTTACATCATAAATGGGGGTTACCTAGAATAAATGCTGGTTTATCGTCGGTAACAACTTAATTGTTACTCCTCATTATTGCCCACAACACATCTCCATGTATAAAGGTGACCAATCACTCATTTGGATTTATTAGGTAGATTAGCCACCACTAGTTCATCTAATTAAGGCTTACTAACTGATAAATGGGGAATGATATTGTTATAGAAGTAATGTGGGTAAAACAATGTCATAAACCATCCCCCAAATCACCATTTTTAAAGGTGGTATAAACAATTCTCATATGGGTGGTTTTATGACATTGTTTTACCCACACTACTATCCATTATTGTCCCATTATAATCCCATGAATACCCATGATTATTCCATTATTATCCCAATTATTTTCTATTACAATGTCATAAATGACTCATTTGTTATGCCCTATCTATTACAGTCATAATTGGAATAATTATCTCCTATTACAGTCATATTCCATTATTCCTATCTAAAATTGACAGTCATTGTCAACCACTAATCACCATTAAAGATCAAATTGTTCACTATAAACCAAATTGTTCACCTATGTTTTACCAACATTATTGGAGATGATATCCCCCATGACCCCATGACTCATGGTTATGTCATTTCTTCATGTCCCCATGGCCGCTCACCAGGCGTTATCCGACCGACTCTGCGGACCCTCTGAAGGCGGCCACTCAGGCGGGAAAATCGTGAAAAAACTGTCGAAGCATGACTTGGAAATGGATATGTGGTGTGTATATTGCGTGTATACACATATATATATATATGTATATATATATATACTGATTGGTGGTTTGGAACATGAATTATCTAATAATTTCTAATAATGAGGGTGATCCATGGTTATTACCAACAGGTAAACTAACTTAATATATCTGATATACCAGTAGTACCGCACAAGGCGGTGGCGGAAGTTTCAAAAATAGGAAACCTATAGGAGAGATTGGTTGTTGTGAATCACGGATGGCAGAGCGAAGCCACTGATGGACCGACAAGTGGTTGAGGTCTCCTCTCTTTCTCTCTCTTTCTCTCTCTTTCTCTCTCTCTTTCTCTCTCTTTCTCTCTCTTTCTCTCTCTTGCTCTCTCTTTCTCTCTCTTTCTCTCTCTTTCTCTGACTATCAGCCTACCTACCTACCGATCTATCTATGTATCTATCTATCGATCTATCCATCGATCTATCTATCTATCCTGCTATCTATCTATCTATCTATCGATCTATCTATCTATCTATCTATCTATCTATCTCTCTCTCTCTTTCATCCAACTACCTATCTATCTAGCTATCTATCTATCTGTCCATCTATCTATCTATCTATCTACCTACCTACCTACCTATCCATCTATGTATCTATCGATCTATCTATCGATCGATCTGTCTATTTATCTATCTATCTATCTGCAAGCTTGAAAACGAAGCTCTGCTGCGAGACTTCCTCATTTTTCGAAGTTGACAACATCAAAAACACATCAAAAACAAAGCAACTCTGGGAGACTTCTTCATTTTTTGAACTGGACAACATCCAAAACGAAGCAATTCTGCGAGACTTCTTCAGCTTTTGAATTTGACAATCAAAAACAAAGCAATTCTGCGAAACTTCCTTCAAAAATGGAAAGTTGAGTGCAGAGCTGACAGCCTCGTACCAATGCGTTTTGCGTTTTTTCCAGTTTAGCTGTTTAGCTGTAGAAAGTACTGCGCCTGCCACGAAAAAGTGATGCCGGGTCATTCGAAGTGCTGCACCTGTCACGCAAAAGCATCTCAGCAAACCTGAAGATCTGATGCTCCAAAATGCAACCCCTCTCAGGAAATCAGCGCCTTCACCTACTAACAGCTCCGATGAAGATGTCTCTTGCACTGCGCCTGCCACGGAAAATGCATCTTTGCAGATCCTCTTCAAATCCCCACGCCTGCTTTCGTTTTTGGAAATGCCACAAAACCTTCACGTTTTGCTCACTTTTGACAAGGTGCACGATCCCTTGCGCCTGCCACGCTAAACGAGATCTGAACGTCCAAAAGTGGTAGGTACGTGGTGCGTTTTGTACATTTTGACTTTGAAATGCGCTTCCCGCCACAACGGCATGCACTTTTTCGACATCTCAACTTCCAAAAGTGGTCCGAACCTGTTGTGTTTTGTGCATTTTGACTTCGAAATGTGCTTCGCGCCACAACGGCGTGCAATTTTTCAACATCGCAACTTCCAAAAGTGGTCCAGAGCTGGTGTGTTTTGTTCATTTTGACTTCGAAATGTGCTTCGCGCCACAACGGCGCGCAATTTTTCATCTCTCATCTGGCCAGATGGCTCCGCACCCGCCGCTTTAGCGAGCCTACTTTTCGAACTTCCAGAGCCACAAATCATTGAAAAAACACAGTGTTTCGCGACTTTCCTACCTTTACGCGCACCTTCATCTTCTTTCTTCTGACTCTTTCTCTTCTCTGATCTTCTCTCTTCTGCCCTTCTCTCTTATACTTTTCTCTTCTCTCTGACTCTTCCCATCTCTGCTTTTCATCTGTCCATATTGTCGGAAGTTTGACTTCTAAACTTCCTTCGGTTATTTAGGTTTGTTAATGAGGTTATAATGGATTTATCCATGGTTGTTACCCTCTGGTAAACTAACATAACTATGGAAAATCACCATTTTTGATGGGATATGTATGTATATTATGTATATGGAGGTGTCCGAAATAGTGGTCCCCCAAATCATCCATTTATAGATGGATTTTGCATTATAAACCAACCATTTTGGATACCCCCATTTAAATGTTGATAGTGGATATACATATATATATATATACTGATTGGTGGTTTGGCCCGTTTTTTATTTTTCCATATATTGGGAATAATGATCTCAAGTGACTCATATTTTTCAGAGGGGTTGAAACCACCAACCAGTATGTGTATATATATATATACATATGTGTGTGTGTTTTTATTTGTGTTTAAAAGAAATATTTGTATATGCACACACGTGTGTTTTTTGGTTTTACTTAGATTCAAGAGTCCTCTATGAACTAAGAGTGGTTGGTGCATGTACACCTATTTTGAATGTATATGTATTTAATGATACATAATTGATACATAGTTTCGACACAGTGAAGTTTGATTTGGAAGCAATGTTCCGAACAAAAATCCGACGTTCGGCGATTCACAGGTCAATGGCCATGTCAGGTACCCAAAATTCGAGGGTACCTACCATATATAAGGCCTATTTTTCAGGGCTAAATTTCAGGGGATATAACACCCAAAAATATGGCTATCCTGAATTTCCAATTGAACAGGTGCCCATCATCGGATGGTTGCAGATCTTGGTGGTCATCGCCCTTTCGGAGTTGTGGCGCTACGACACCCGGCAGAAAAGCTGACAGGCTGAGGTGGTTGCCATTGGAAAATGGTGATTTAATGGTGCAAAATTGTCGGATTTCATGGGATATAATCGATAGAAACCCTAAGGAAATGAAGATTTAAGCGAGAAAAGTCGGGATTTTCATGAGAATGAACTAAAGGGTTTTAATTGGATACGATGGATAGGCGCAGTGGGATAGAATTGGAATCTTCATGCAGGGCAGGGCCCCTGTTTACCACAGCTAAATTGGGGCCACTAATTTCAATTACTAGGGTTTACGGTAATTCCGCCTGTATTCATGGGGGTTAAAAATCAACTTATAAACGGGGGGAGGGCAAACTTGTAATGGTGATAATAAAGATGTATGGATATAATGGGGATGTAATAGAGATAACCCAATTTATGGCATTTTAATTGGGGAAGATGGTGATTTGCTTACCATCAAACATGGGAATTCAGCAATTCAGCAGCATCCTTGGAAGCACAAACACCGGCACCAAAAAGACACAGCACATCACACCACATTTCAGGACAATGTCTTGTGCAGTGCATCAATCAGTGGATTGGTTTAAGGGAAAAATTACAGAAAAACCCTGTATTTGATGGTAACAAAGCCTGATGTCCTATAGATTTGCCTTGAAACCACCAAAATAAATGACATTCGCCTGAGGGCTCGCAGACCTCCAAAGATGCCATGGCAAAGGATGTGGTGGAATCGCCATATTTTGGATATCCCCTGAGAGACCCTGGTTGCTATTGGATTGGTTCATAAATCGCGCAAACACAGGTGGTACTGTTGGATGGATGGGATTCACAATCAAATACCACACCGAATTTTGTGCTCATTAGTTGACTACCCAACTTATAACCTTGGATCCCTGCATCGTTTTCAAGCAACCCTGGATTCATAAGGGCGGTTTCGTCAGTGATGAAACATGGTGGGGTTTCATCAATCTGGGATGTACCTTGACGATTTGTTTAAGATTCCACAAGTCCCCAATTTGGTTTATGCTCAAACCATGTCAAACCATACCCTCTGGTAAACTGTTACATAGCTAGAGAAAATCACCATTTTGAATAGGTAAACTAACTATAAATTGGATATTTTCAATAGCTATGCTAAATTACCAAACCATATCTGCTTGGTGGTTTCAAACACGTTTTATTTTCCATAATAAATGGGATAATCCTTCCCGCTGACGAACTCATATTTTTCAAGATGGTTAAACCACCAACCAGATATGTCTTGCATAGGTTTGCTGCTGGTTTCCTACAATTGATTGAAGGGAAAATTGAAACCTGACACCCTATTTGATAGGAAGGTCTCAAAAAATCATGGTCTCCGGTTCAGATTGGAAAAACACACTTATTTATAAGCCACCAATATGTGATATGAAAATTTTATACCATTTCGACCACCCGCGGACGTTCCCATGGTTTCAAGGGCTTTCCCGATGTTTTTCCCAGGAGAACGTGATCACCAAGTACAGCGAAGGTGTTCAGCCTGGTGATTTGGGCTGGAACCCCACCGTTGCTTGGGTGAAAAATGGTGGGAGATTTTGAGGGGATGGGTTTCAGAATGGTTTATGAATTGGGTTATAATGGTTTATCCACGGTTATTAATGATTATGTTTTATTAATGGTTTATTATTGATTTATTAATTGTTCAATATTGTTTGCTATCCATGATTAATGGTTATAAGGATGTTGATAATGGCTTATTAATGGTTTACTTGAAGGTTTTCCTTATTAATCTCACTATAACCTGTTTATACTGGTTTATTTCATCAAGTTATTGTTCCCAATTATAATAGGGTGTTGGGATGGTTATAAGGAACATGTTTCCAATTCTGTGCGGGTGCTTTTTTCCTTCCAAGAAATCTGGGTAAACCATGCTCAACATTGGATTTATCTAGGTAAACCTTGGTTACATATTGTAGGACTTTTTCCATAAATAAGAAAAACTACTAACCAGCTTAGAATTTGATTTGATTTTTGGTAGGGTATCTAAGATTGGTAATGCAATGAGGTTATTGTTCCCAACCACTAGAAAGAACATCTTTATAAACCATTCCGAATACTATATAAAATTGATCAATGGGATATAATATGGTGATTAATGGTTAGAAATTGTTTATAATTAGGAATTGTCATTATAATGGGATGATAATGGGCGTTGTTAATATCCCGTTGATCACCATGCAAATATCCCTTAATCATATGATTGTTTTTAGTATCATCCTTTAATCCTGTTTAATGGCTTATCAATGGGGTGGTGATATGGAAAATAACCAACTATGGTCTAATAAGGATGATAATGGGACATTGGTTGGATATGCATGGAGATACCCTCGGGTAATCAAACCTGGGAATTGGAAATTCACTACAAATGAAGGTTTAATGTGAAAATCATCTATAAATCGGGAATTGTCCAGCGCGCCATGTTTGATTACCGGAGAATATATTATTTATATAGAATAGTTGTTTGTTACAGTCTTACTATTCATTTTTCTTAGTGTCATCACTAATGCTGCATTATTTTTTGGGGAATATGTGTTCTTTCTCTGGACTTCCAAATATGTTTTGTTTGGATCGATTCGCCCAGACAAAACATATTCTGGGGATGTCACAAACAGTTTTACGGGGAAACCACCATACGTAGGCAATGAATCATATTCAAAGCGGTGTCCCCAGTTAGTACAATTTGATTTCTAAACCCCATTAACTATTCCCAGTTGTTATAGGTTGATTTTAAATCCCATTGAACTATAATAGATATCTATATATTTACTATTCGGTAAGCAAACATAGAAATGGGAAGTTCCCTGTAAATAAAAATGTTTTAATGGGAAAATCAACTATAAATGTGGGATTGTCCAGCAAGCCATATGTGACTACCGGTGGGTCTGGATACAATGTCTTTATGTATTTACATATATATATATATGCCATAAACCGTAGCTCTATTAGTTGTTAACCAACTTCGCTAGCCAACGTTTGGCACAGCAAACGGTTTGGTGAATGATTGGTGGGTAAAAGTTCGCGCATGGTTAGCTGTATACCTTCAATCCTTCAAATAGGACTATGAGGGGAAACTATACTGATTGGTGGGGTTCGGGGCTGCCCCACTTCTGGACAAACATCTGTGAAGAAGACGCAAATCTCTTGCTGTTTCAGACTCAGTGGTGCTGGTTTGATTTTGTTCAGCGCAATTCTTGGGAGTTGTGGATTTCATGTTGAGTCTGCAGGGGATACCTGCAGGAACTCTCGCCTTGGTGACCCAGTAACCACTGTAAGCAGCTGTATCCGATGTTCTTTCTCGGTTTCACGCTTTCCACTTGCTGGGCCATCCAAACCTCATGGAATGCTGGAGTTGGATGGTCACCTTGAATCGCTGCTCCCAGAGCTGCACAGCCGGAACTGGACTTATTAAATCCTTGATACCTTCTGAACTGGACTTACCAATAATGGATCCAAATCGGGACCTCGAATTATCTGATCGAGGGAAACTCGGTGGCAGTGTCTCGATGCCAGCACCAGCAACATGCTGGACATTCCTCGAGGCTTGAAGTTGAGCAATACCATTTTTTTGATTGGAAACCTCAAGTTCTGACGAAAGAACAGGTTTCATGTCAAACAATGTTTTCGTCAACAGGATCAACATAGAAGCAGTAGCTGGATTGCCTCATTTTCCAGCATTTCCCCATGAGACTGTCATGTTGGAAGTGTCGTCCATGAACGAACCCAGATATCATAATGTTGGTTCTGTATCCATCGAATGCACAAGTTTGTCTCCATCGAATGATGGGTGTTGTACCCCCAACATCCGTTACATCCAATTGTATCCCATTATTTCTCATTATATCCCATCATATCCCTCATCATATTCCCTATCCATCATATCCTCGAGGCTTGATGGTTATCCATCCGTTGCGGCTGATCAAAACCGTCATGACTCATGGTTAAATCACTATCCCATAGATGCTTTACACATTAAATAATCACTATCATCTATGGTTAAAATAATATCCCATAATATGGTTAGAATGGATTTAACCATAAATACTAACCCATATTTCAAATTATATCTAGATATGCAATCAGAAATCATCCCACAATCTCCCCATGTTCTCCCCATGATCCTTTTAAAACGCCACGGGGGACCCGAAGAACCAAGGCTCCCATGAGCTCCAAGCGCCCCAAGTGGTTCGGACCCACCTTCACCGCCAACTACAAACCGGAGGCGCTGTGAAGTGCTTGGTTCGGATCCTCCAGTTAGATTAATGGGATAATGGCTATATGGCTATATGATGTTAATGTTATGGATATCTATAATCTATAATCATCCCCAAATGGCCTTAATTCAGGTTAGTGAAATATTACAATTTACCCAGATTAATGGGATAAGCTAGATAATGATTGGATGGGATAACAATGATGATAAATTCTAAATGGAGTTAGATTATATGTTTATCCTCCGTTTTTAGATTTTTAGATGGGATAACAATGATGATAAAGGTTATGGGGTATGACTATGGTTACAACTAACTATGTTTATAACTAACTATGGTTCTAACCCATGGTTACTTAGTAAGTGGTTAGTAACCATAGTTCATCCTTTGGGAAAACCAACGATCCGAGTATGATGATCAACCAACTGGATGGAGTTCATAACCGTGACCAGCAAAAGGTTATGTTTTTCGTGGACTATCAAACAAAAAAGATTGACCATGCTACAATGTGGGGCCCATCAGTTATAAGTTGGTTTATAAACCCTATTAACTATAGATATATCTACCATAGACCATACTTAACCTAGTTCTAAACAATTGGATTTATGCTGAGTTTTGGTGTTTTTTGAGGCTGGAAATGTGGATTTACCTTTGGCAATCAAATGTGGTTTGCTAGAACATCCACCATTTGTAGAACTACCCACTCGCTAAGTAACCATGGTGACAGCCATGACTGTTATAATCATAGTTATATCCTCTGAATGGAGGATAAACATATAATCTAATCCCATTTTTAATCATTTCTACCCCATCTAATCATTAGTTCGGGGGTTCCCATTGCCACGTTGATTGAGGCTAACTATCAAGATCAACCTTGGGAGTTTACTATCAAAAATGGTTTACCATAGTAATGGTTGAATAGGGATAGTAAAATCAACAATTTACTATCAGAAATTGATTTTAACTATCAGTTTATGGCTAGTTTGATTTGAATTGTTGCTGGATTTTGAGAATGGGTATTGAGCCATCAAAAAACCATCAAACATATGATATTAATGGTTAGTCATCATCATTTATGGCTATTGATAGAATTGTGAAATTCTACTGAGATAGGATGATGGGGATAAATTAGTTGTCTTATCCACTTTTCGAACGGTCTTTATAATTGGGGTTTAACCATCAAACATAGGAAAAAAGCTGGGAAACCTTGTGTAATTTACTACTTTAATCTCTTGCTGTAGGTGGGGGAAAAAAGAAAACATACTCATTTGAGTCTCATTCCAGCCTTAGATACCTTCATGTGTTTTCCATTTTGATGGGGATATATTAAGCTAACCGTACCCCATTAAAAAGTTTTTTAAGGATCCCAGGCATTGTGGTTGACCTGTGGTTCGCCGTTCGCCAGAATTATCCCATCATGGCATGCTATGAGAGATTAACCTAATACTCAACATTGGATTTAACCTATTACTCAACATTGTAACTATAGCAGATTAACTATAGCAGATTCATCTTTTTTCTATAATTAGGAAAAGCTACTAACCGGCTAAGAATGTTCATTTGTTCTAAGGTATCTAAGATTGCCAATGCAATGAGGTTATTGTTACCAACCATTTTCAGGAACATGTTTATAAACGATACTCCACATTAGTTTTCATTATTCCATAGTTGAAAAAGTCAACCATTTATAGACTATCCCATAGTTATTATCCAGTGTTATCCTATACAACTATGGGATATGTTATTGTATATTTCTTATAAATTATCTATGTGATATGTTTCCACAACTAACCCATAGTTTCCTCAGATCCATGCTTTGGTCGCTACTTCGCTGGTCAATATCCATCCAGGAGTGGAACAACATGCGCCTGCGAGAGATCAAGCGCCGCTGATGGCATTGGCACCGGTTGGATGTTTTAGTTGGGAGAATAATGGGATCAATGGGAGAATAGTCCATATTACCCTCTGGTAAACCAACATAGCTGTTGAAAATCACATATTTTAGTGGGTAAATCAACTATAAATGGCCATTTTCAATAGCTATGTTGAATTACCAGAGGGTAATGGGATAATATATCAGATGATATTGGGATTAATGTTGGGATTAAATGGTTAAATCACCGTCCGAAGGATGAGTATTTGCTATACACATTACACATATGTATCCTGGTTGGTGGTTTGGAACATGATTTTTATGAATTTCCATTCAGTTGGGAATGTCATAATCCCAACTGACGAACTCAGTTTGTTCAGAGGGGTAGGTATACCACCAACCAGATGGGATAATATATGGGATGATACTGGGATTAATATTGGGATTAATAGTTGGTAAATGTCCTAATTGAACATCACCCAACCATTGGGGATATAATCACCAAGTAATACTTGTTTTGGTGATGTGAAACAAACCCCCAAAACAGGACATTTACCAACCCCTGTTTAGTTTTAAAGCGATATGCAGTCCATATTGCGCTACACGTTTGCAGCACTCACCCTAAGTTTGCTTGAGTATTTCACTAATAATGGGAGAATTTCAGAATTTTGTGGGAAAAAATGGGAGGTTTAACCAAGAACAACGGGGAATTTGTTGGGGATATTTTGTTTCATGGTGGGATCGTGGGATCACATCCCTCCGGTCATCAAACATGGCTGGGAAATCTCATCGAAGTATTGCTGGGTACGTTGAAGTCGCTACGTGTGTCATGACACCGGAGGCGACCGAAGCAAATTGAGGTGGTTTGTTATCACAAAAAAAGGCAATTTATAACTACTGTTAGTTGCTATAAATCATGTTAGTTATTATATATATATACGTTTGACATGATGTTTTTCATGTTCAACTGGATGTGGGTCAATTCATGGAAGACCCATGTGGGACCAGCCCTATGTTAGTTTAGTATTAACCATCCAATTTTCCATTGGGATACCTAATGACTTGACCCATACCCAACTAGGTACGAGATCGGAATTCGCAACTTGATGGGGCATCCCCATGAAATTTGCTAAGCTCCCCCCAAAAAAGATGCAGAGCCATTTGTCATCCTTGGTTTACAACTAGCTCAACTATGGTTTATGGTAGAATATCTAAAGAATCTATGGTATTCATAGGGGGTTACAAACAAACTTCGAACTGAAGGGGCACCACCGTGTGGGCGATAGCCTCTAAATAAACAACACTTGTTTTCAAAAAGGAGGCACATCCAACACCCAATGCTGCTGAACATCATGTTTCTCATCAATGTGGGCATGTATTTGGGTATATCCCATACATACTTGTTTTAAACCACAATTGACAACGATCCAGTTTCCATATACTCTAACCCCCATAAACTTAGTGTGTAATCCCTTCCCCCTAATATTAAAAACCACCCAGAAACCATGGTTGAGTAGGGAATGTTGATATCTTTGGGACCATGGCAACCATGGTACCGAGGCACTGCCGCTTGGCCATGGTGGGTTTCTTCTTCATGGTCTTGACCAACGTGCCTTGATGTGGCGTTTTTTTTCGATGATCAAAGGCCTTTTTGAGTTAGCAAAACAAAACCTGGTTGGTGGTTTGGAACATGAGTTTTGTTTTCCATATCATATATGGGATGTCATCCTTCCCATTGACGAACTGCATTATTTTTCAAGATGTTGAAACCACCAACCAGAAACATATGGTGTTCCAGTTCGCAAAGATTGTCTAGAACATCAGCCTATGATTCGAGAGGCGATTGTTGTTGTCGATCAATAGCTATAGAATTTCTGAAAGGGGTTATTCACATCCATAAATCCCAGTTATTTTGATGTTCACCAGGCTATTGACAGATAACCATATGGAAGTTTCCTAAGTCATAGGGCTACCCCCCAAACTTTATCATCCATTTATAGATGGGATTCTCCATGAAATCAACCCATCCATGTGGGGGCCATCCATGAGATCTCCCGGCTGCCGCCGGGCCGCCGAGGCCTCCACGGGTCAGGGCCCATCGTTGATCCCCAACTTCACCCAGGCGGAGTTCCAATCCACCGTGGGTCCCTGGGCATTGGGCGATTGGATGCGATGGATGGGGAAGCCACCATGAAGGGCGGGCCCCCTGGGTAGAGCCACCATGAGTTCATGGAATTTTCAGGTTGACTACCCTCTGGTTATTTGTTACATAGCCATGGTTAAGCCATGGCCCTAATCGAAATAGATGGTTTACCGTTCTTAATAGCATGGTGATTTTCCATGGATATGTTCAATAACCAGATGGTAACTGATAAATAGGGAATCATGTGTTTATATATAGAAGTAATGTGAATAAAACCATGTCATCTGCACCATCCTCCAGAAAAATCACCATTTTTATACGTGGTATGTGACTACCATTCCCAGTCATGGGTGGTGTATCATTGTTTTACCCACAAAAAACAGTGCATCCATGTCTAATTGGAAAGATTGGGGGACATCACCATGAAAATTAGGGAATCTAAACATCCTATGAATGAGTTTTTCGGGGAATAGAACCATGAAGGGCCTAGGGGCCTAGGGATTGAACATCTTAGATATAACCACAAGAGGAAGCATCAATTGACCTAAAAAGATGGAGGCTGTAGCATGTGACCAGTGGCGAATCCATAGCTAGGCTGGTAAAAATAACTCCAATAACTAGGGTTGATTAGGGGAATGCAACTATAGTTATAGGGGCTTATAAGCCAACAAACATCGGAGGGCACCACCTTGTGATGTAGATGGTGTTTACCATGAATCGTTGAGATTTCAACATGATATATGTGAATTCGATCAAGATTTGTCGGCTTTGAGGATTTTGAGCGACAGAAATCTAGGAAGTATGATATCTTTAGAAATGGGATTTGAGTATTTAACAATCAAATTCGGAATAGCATCAGCAAAAATTAGGAACATATCATTGAACCATGATCTATGTCAAGCACCCTCAAAGATTCATGGGTATTTTTTGGGCACGTGACAAGTTTTCGATGGCAAGTTGGGCCCGGGATCATCCTGGATCTTACTTTTGGGTCCTGGTTGAAGCCACCGAGTCGCCAAATTTCATCCTGGTAGTTCCTGGTGAAGGGATGACTGCGGTTCTACACTTCTCAAGGTCGGTTCAGCACTTGGGTTTTCACCATCCTCAAGCATCATCAGTCACTGTGTTCACCCAAAAAGACCCAATAAGTACACCCATCATCCGTCATGAACAATTACAAGTTACCATAAGTTACCTGTGTTTTTCCATTGCATTGTCAGGCCCATGCCTGGACTTTCTTGGGGGGTAAACGTCCAATGTTTGAGCTGAAATCATCTGAAATCCCGGCTATGGCTGGTGAAATGCACAATTTTTGCACCAACTCATACGTCATCATTGTCCTCAGTCTTGTAGGGAGAGACCCCCATGTTTGATAAAAATGTCCTCATGTTGATGGATAAGTCCAGCGTCAACTGAGGCGATTTCATCCCCAAGGGTCTCTGAGTGTCGCGTTTTAGCAGCATCGTCGTTAGCCAGGAGAGTTCCGCAGCCGGAAATCAATGGATGATGGGTGAAATCAACCAAGAATAAGCGACAATGAGAATGATATCACTAAGTATCATCAAAAACTGGTTGGTGGTTTGGAACATTTTTTATTTTTCCATATATTGGGAATAATCATCCCAACTGACTTTCATATTTTTCAGAGCGGTAGGTATACCACCAACCAGCACTAAGTATCATCAAAAATGATTGAGCATGATGAGAATATCAATTTTAATGACAATGAGAATGATAACACCAAGTACAATAGCATCCAAGTATAATGATAATGACACTAAAACACCAAGCATGAACATGACGATAATGATGATGAATCCAACAATGATAGACCTGAATAGCCAAAAGTCAATGTTTTAGCGAGTATGCGTAAGAATGGATGATGGCTATGACCATATAAGCCATAAACTTATATGGTGTCCAGTCAACTGGGAAAGCGTAGTCCGAAGGGTCAACTTTCCAAGCGGTGCCCCAGTTCGTAAGCTGTTTCTTTGCTCTTGTTCACAAACGGTGAATTGTGTGGTTCATCGGGTGAGAATAAATTCACTTATAACTGGGGGGGGCAGCCTCTTGAAGGGGAAAATTGTTTGGTCATTGTAATCCTATCCACCTAGTATCAAGTACCCACAAAGATGCTGGTTTGTTGTTGGAGCAAAACTGTCTTTTGTGTGGGCTGTGTGGGGGGGAGCGTATTTCGCATTAGGGTGAAGAGATTGTATGCCACCAGGTCACAAAAATGTCTAGGATAGGAACCACATGAATTGGTAAGTACCAACAGTGCAACTTTTTGGTCCTTGAACTTCGCATGCTCCACTACACCAGTAAACCAGATAAGCGTGTCCAGCCACTGGATTTGGTCTTTTGTAGCTGCCTTTTTGGTACCTACATGGAACTCGACTGGCTATGCTTGCATATTAGTTCTCACATCACGTAGCGTGTTTATTCACGTGGCTTCCGCAGTTCTTTTCGTGGTAGAAGCATCTGCGCATCTGCAGACAACTTGGTATAGCAACTTTGTTATGTTGCTTTTTTGCTTTCCTTTTTCCCGGAAGTTAAACATGTCCAGCATTTTGCCAGGGCTGGCCAATTTTTGAATGTGTAGATTAAGTTCACAATGCCAAGGCTCACAAAATGTGAGCCGGAAACGGTTCGGGCAGCCGCCAATTTTATGGATTTTTGTCGCTGAAACACGGGCAGCCACAGTTCCGCAAAAAGATGCTGTTTGGATGGGAGGCAGGGATGGAGTTTACCCATGAACATGTTGATATTTGGGGATGCAAGCAGTAATTATATGAATATCATCACTCAAAATTGAAGGCCCACTCGACCAGAGATGTTGGTCATGTTTAGCAACTAAACCATCCATTTTTAAGAGGACCCAATTTTGACCCATATTAAAATGAATCAAGATGACCTACATATTCATAGCAAACTCATAGCTCTAAACAAGCAATTCGAGAGTTCATGTTAAATTGCAGAAAGACTTCAGAGCAACATCTGCGAGACTCTGCAAATATGGATCAGATTTGCACAAGGACGCAACCACAATCCCAACTGACGAACTCATATTTTTCAGAGGGGTAGGTATACCACCAACCAGACAATGGTGTAGTGAGTATTCTCAACATGTTGCAGTGCTATTTAAGAGATATCTTTCGACCTTATGGTGGTATCCAGGTGTAAATATATAACTTCTACAATTGCGTCACGGTAAACTTTGGCAGGGCAATGGATGCAATTTGGTTGGAGCACTATGCGGATATTCCATGAAAGTGTTACTTTTTGTGTTTGTTTGATATGGGAAACCCACCATTTACAGATCATTTTCCTTGGGACGCACGGGTTTTCCATGTCTATGTTGACTAACCCCAGGTTACGATAAGCTCAGCTATGGCATGTGTGCTTAAAACCTCACCGACCTCCTGAGACCTGTTCTCAGCCCAGTCCATGGCAGATGTTTCCCACTGAGGTTTTCGAGATAACTTGGAAGCCAAGGACTTCGGGGAGTATGGTGAAAGATGTTTCATTCCTGGTACTCTATCCGTAGGCCCAGAAGGTGAAAAAAGACCCCAAAATTGGATGATTGGAGCCTGAACATGACCTCAATTCAGTTTAGGCCACTTGGTGTGCCAGTTTGGGTCACCATTTCCAGATCAGAAAAAATTCGCCAGTGCCCCCTTGGTGGTTTACATGGCTCCGGCAGCAGCGAAGAGAAAGGGTTTCTGCTGAAGGAAGCTTTTTGAATCTGCTGAGAACTGCAAGTGGAAAAATCTTGGTTTGGATTCTTCCTAAATAGTTGAACTATCTAATCCCAAGTTTGAACTATCTAATCCATTGGAAACGAAATCTTGCTTTTACTTGAACTATCTAATCTCTTCATGGCGTATTCAAATTCTCTATATTAAACGGTCTTGCTAAACGATACGTGCTTCGCATGGTTTCCAAGGCTAGGCTTAAATTCATGAGATATCTCGGAACAGAACTGCCCAGCAATTTCCAGTTCCAAAGATATTCCCATGGCTGGTTGAAATATCATGATCCCAAAAAAGATACCCTCTGGTTATGGCTAACATTTTGCCATGGTAAATGGCCCATAGAAATAGATTGTTTACCTATTAATAGCATGGTGATTTTCTATGGCTATGTTAAATAACCAGATGGTAGAACTGCAAAATCACCATGACAATCATCAAAACAGCTAAATCGCTTCACCTTTGTAGCATTTGGACCCGAAATTAGCTGAGTTAGAAATACCTATCCTTCTTAGCTGCCTCAAAATTCTTGACCCAAGCTGGTCGACAAAATAATTCACCAAGCCCCCAAAATCTGACTGATTTCCCAGACTTTCAAGAAGGTTGATATAGGTTGATACTCAAAATATATCATCTATCCGCAAAAAGTATCGATCCCCCAAGGTCTTTTTCTAGTGAATTTGGGTCACCGGCGTGGCCCAGGAGATCAAGAGCGGCTCGCAGGGCTCAAGCCTAGGCCAGGCAACCGGCCAGAGATCCATATGGAAAAATCCACGAAGTGTCCAAAGACGTGGCAGGATGGTGCCCCAGTTCGTTAGCTAAGTTGGTTTCTAACTATAATGGGGCTTATAAATAAATAAATATATAAATATGTGTATATATATATATGTATAGATGTACAACTATATACAGATATATTGCAATTATAAACCTAATGGCAATAGTCTGGGTAAATTTAATCACGACCGAACCCTGTCCTCCCGAGCCCTGGAATCATGGTTAATAAGGGAAGTCATCCCCTTTTATGGCCTTAGTTCAGGTTGGTGAAATATTAAAATTTACCCAGAATAGTGTATGATACTTATAATTGTATCTACCATAAACCCTAGCTCCTGGAATTATAAGCAATCTTCGCTATCATAAATCAGCTATATAAATCTCATGAGATGTGCTATTTTCAACATAAACCAACTATTTCACAACAAGTTGGTGTATGATACTTCTAATTATATTTAGTAGGGGTTATGGTAACCAACTGGCGCATTTCACTGGGGGGGGGCACCATCCTGGGATGTTCCATTGATGGGAAAGATTGGTAAGTTTCTGCTACTGAAATTAGGAAAGTAGTTCTGTAATGATTAATGTAAATTAGGAACCACTAGTTACTAAAGTTCACAGCTAAACGAACTTGGCAGAGGCTACTGATATATACTTATATGGCCTATCATGTAATTTAAATTGTTTTGGAATCAGACCAAATAACATCCATTGATTTTGTATGAGATGGAGCTACACAGTTCCTCACAAGCATCAATAAGGTCCTAAAAATTGTCGCCAAACTTGGATAGTGTTGTCGCCAAGTAGACTTCCAGTAAATATCTCCATGACTGGCTCCTTTTGGGTCTCCACAACTGACCCATGGAATGCCATACAGAGTTCTAGTGCTTTCCGTAGATTTTCATTGGCACCATGCAGCAGTTATGGTGACGTTTCTTCAGTGAGACGTCTCACTTTTCTCCCCATGATTTGTTGGTGAAAAATCCTCATTCTTGCTAATTGACTTCCAAGTATCCCATGACAATCGAATGACACCTCCCCATTTTTGATTGATCAATCCCAAGTTTCGCGGATGAAATCCCCATATTCCACCATGTTTGCTAGCTAAATCACCAAGGGCCACAGTCAAAACCCAGGGTTTTCCCTGGATTTTCCATGGAAAAGTCCGGTCAAAACCTCCCAGGCATCGAGCCGGGTTGGCGCTTGGTGACCTTGAACGGTGAAGCCCTGAGCGACTTGGCACCTGCCAAGATGGGGATGACCCAAGCGACTGGTGAATGCTGTCTATAGTTAATAGATGTTAATGCTATCTATAGTTGATATCCCATGGTTGAAATATGGATGCAATCCACAATTGTCCTCAACAGTCCAAGGTTATAAATCACTAAAAACCCATTCTGGTTGGTGGTTTGGAACATGACTTTTTTGAATTTCCATATATTGGGAAGAATAATCCCAACTGATTTTCATTTTTTCAGAGGGCTTGAAACCACCAACCAGTTAATAGATGTTACTGTTACTGGTATCTATAGTTAGACAGTATTTGTATTTAATAAATGGTGATAGTATCTATGGTTAGATGGTATCTATAGTTGATATCCCATGGTTTTAACCCGGTGAAAAAATGGGAAATCTTTAAATCAGTTGGAGGTTATAGCTGTGAAAATTATCGAACTAAATGGTGATTGAATCAACCCCAACCAACTGGATGGGTAGTTCAATCCTCTAGTTTTTTGCTGTAAATGGAAAACAGTCAGAACTGGTTGGTGGTTTGGAACCATGGAATTTTATGACTTTCCATTTCATATATGGGATGTCATCATCCCAACTCCATGATTTTTCAGAGGAGTAGGTATGCCACCAACCAGATAAGCAAAAGATTGTTTTTGTGGTGGACCAAAGATTGACCATGTTCACCAGGCGAAAAATGGGATTCACTCAACAAACGACCGGAACTGATGAGTCAACCAGCCAAAAAGTGGAGACAACTCGCCCGCAAACCTCGGTTTATTTTACCGGCAAAGATGTGGATTGAGCAGCCATTTTTTTGTGGAGTTCAAAAAAAACGTGGGGGGGTGTATCATGAAAAAATATCATTTAATCATGATATGTCATAGTGAAAATGGTGGATTTGAGGAGTATTGCCAATGAGACCTAACATGTTCGCGGGGGTGCTTTTTTGAATCCTAGCCATATCCCATGGAAAGTGTTTCAACATATTGAAAAACAGTTGATTTTACCATCCCAGAAACCTCGGAAGATGCCAAGGCATTTCTGTTGGGAATTTCCCAGGGGATGATCGATCTTATTACCATATCTTACCGGAAACTTCCCGGAGGACTTCAACCAAAATCGGTGGACATAAAAACAGTACAATCCACATGGCAAAGGAAGAATCCACAGCCAATTGAAACATTGATATTGTTTAAATTTGTGATACAGCAATAGCCATCGAAGTAAATCATACAAACAGTGAAAATCCACTGTTTACTTGGATGATTGTATTATTGAAAATTATAAAAATCGCCCTTTAGGGCGGGAGTTCACGGCCCATGTTTGATGACACTAGAGGCCACCTGACAGCCTGGTCGTTGCACCCAGCTAAGGCAACAGCAAGGAACTCGTGGCGAAGATCAAGGCTATCCACGGACACTCTGAGGGAGTCGGACTTGGAGTACATGACATGTGGTCATGGTGAGTATCACCAGCCAAAATGGTGAATGGCTGGTGAGAAAAATCAGTCAAAATGCTCAGAGTGAATCAAGTTTCATAGTGGAATATGGATGGGATATGGGTGAATCTGAAAATGAGGTAATTCCATGTAATTCCCAATTTGCAGGGTGATGACCTCATAAAATCATGTTCTCCACTGAAGACGACCATGTTCGGGTATATTTTTTTTGGACAAAGCCATACCCTCTGGTAATTTAACGTAGCTAATCCTTTCCCCTATTACTAAACGTCCCCCAAATACTAAAAACTAGGGTACATCTCCCAGTTTGGAAAATTTCAGGTTGGCCAATTTGACTTTTAATTGATCCCCTTTAGAAAACAATTTAAAAATTACTTTACTTCGAGTTATCCCCACCATGACATTTATACGTTTTGTTACTGGCAAATCTTCTGGCATTCTATCTGACATATCTTCTAGCATTTTATCTGGCATATCTTCTGGCATTCTATCTGGCAAATCTTCTGGCATATGTTCTGACACACATTCTGGCACTTTATCTGGCATATCTTCTGGCATTCTATCTGACATTCTATCTGGCATATCTTCTGGCATTCTATCTGGCCGTTGAGATCCAGCGGTGCACACTGAGCTGGGAAGGTCCCAGGTTGAGGTCCAGCGGTGCACACTGAGCTGGGCAGGTCCCAGGTTGAGGTCCAGCAGTGCACACTGAGCTGGGCAGGTCCCAGGTTGAGGTCCAGCGGTGCACACTGAGCTGGGAAGGTCCCAGGTTGAGGTCCAGCGGTGCACACTGAGCTGGGAAGTTGGCAAAGAGCTTGGCGAAGAGTTGGCAAGGCGGAAGTGCAGGTGGAAGTTGATGCAGACATGGTCGAGGAGAAACTGGAGGAGGAGGAGGACGAGGAGGAGGAGGAGGACAGCTAGCCGAGGAGGAGGAGAACAACTCTGATAAAATCTAACAACCCTCACCTGGCAGGTGGGGAATAAAGCTACCATTTGTGGGTTTTGCCCCCTAATAATAAAAAACTAGTTAACCCCGGGGTGTTTATTATTAGGGTCCGTCCAATTTTTTTTTAGTTTTTTATATTAGGGCTTTTGATTTATTATTAGGGCCCGCTTCGAAAACCAATTTTTGGCAATATTTTAATTGCGTTATATAAGGAAATGTAATTGATTTTGAAATCGAACAAACTAGTTTTTTTATTAAGGTTTTAAATTTATTAATAGGGTCCGCTTCGAAATCCAATTTTTGGCAATATTTTAATTGCGTTATATAAGGAAATTTGATTGATTTTGAAACCAAACAAACTAGTTTTTATTATTAAGGTTTTAAATTTATTAATAGGGTCCGCTTCGAAATCCATTTTTTGGCAATATTTTAATTGCGTTATATAAGGAAATTTGATTGATTTTGAAATCAAACAAACTAGTTTTTATTATTAAGGTTTTTAATTTATTAATAGGGTTCCCTAATAATAAATACCCCCCTAATAATAACAACTACCTGAGGTGTTTATCAATGGGGGGGCGTTTAGTATTAGGGGGAAGGGATTATTGGAAATGGCCATTTATAGTTGATTTACCTATAAAAACTGTGATTTTCCATAGCTATGTTACTTTACCAGAGGGTATCCAATTTCAAGAACTATGAATATAATGAAGTTTGGTATGTTGCTAGAGAAGTCTACCGAAGCCATATTACGCGCAAAAATCGCTGCACAGCCGGATGATCGAAGGAAGCAGAAAAAGATGAACTTTCACAGCGACTGGACCCTCGCGAGTGGACCCGCGCGCTCCGCAAAGAATACCACGAGTTCACAACGGAAGTTATTTGCGATCTTGAGCATCTTTGGCGACATTTGCGGGCCAGAAAAGATTTGGACATGCGCCTCTTGACCACGCGAAGAAGGTATGGGGCTATAGCAACATTGTGAAGAAGTATGTAGATGGCATGTATGTTGCGCGTGGTTCTAAGGTGTCACTTTCGCGTGGCAATCATGTTATCCGCGTGTGGTCAAATTGATGGCCGGACTCAATTGATGGCGGGTGTTGTTCTCCTTTCAGCCTTTCAGAATGAAATTGGTCACAGGTATGTTGGCAAATTGGATGATGGCCATGGAAAAAAGTCGCTTTACATTGGGAAAAGTGCTCAGTCGCAAATCAGAATCAGGGTTGCTCCAACCCTGTCAATGATGGGAACCGAGGGGAACCAATATTCTAAAGTGCGTCCCTTACACGTCCCACATTTCAGGATTATGTCGATCCAAACGGTACGCTTCTGCCATGGTGTTATGATCTAACAATGATTGAGGTTGTGTTGACAGGTGAAAATCAACGACGGCCCAGCGAGATTGGGATCTGATGATTTGGGTCAGAAGCAAACACTTTTGACTATTTTGGGCATGCTCAGATCTGGTTCTATAGATTAGATTATTTCAGAACCTTTTTTATAGATCATCAATTAAGAGAGTAACTCCCCATTTCTGTTTGATTTCTTCTTGTTAAACACATTTACAGCTTTGCTGATTAAATCACGTGTTTTGCCGGTTGAAGCAGTGTTCTTGCTGACAAAATCACATGGTTATCGATGAAATGTCTATTTTTTGCTGGTGAGATTCCGATTCTGGCTCATGAATTCCTGATTTCTGTTGACTCCAATGTTTTTTCGCGTGAAAGATGTTAAATCACCATATTTTTGCGAGAAAAAAAAACCTTGTCCCTATGGCGGAACCGCGGCGGTGGACAGGGCCTGAAAAGTGGCGGTGCGACGTCTGCCAGTTCCAGCTGGAAGAGACCGGCACCCGAGGAGATGTGATGGGGTCAGCCGGCGGATCCCGGAACCCAATGAAAACCATGGGATTTCATGGGATTTAACGGGATTTAATGTGATAGAAGCCATAGGAAAATAGTGATGTCATGGGAAAATACTGATTGAACTATGAAAAGCGATGGAAAAGTAGCCATGGCAAAGTTGCTTGAAAATACCATGAAAGTTGTGGTGGAAAATGGTGGATTTCACCATTGAATGTGGATTTACTGGGATCGATAGCTGATTTATGATAGCTAAGTTGATGCACATTGTTTGGTTATCTGTCGTTTGATCAGGGGGATCAACCTCAGCTTGGGACGGGTCACAGGCACCTTAGATACCATAATTAGGGTGGATGAACCAATGGTATCATCAAAATTAGATACAGAATTAGATACATAATTAGATACCTTAGATAAGATACCATTTGTTTTCATCTCAGCTATTTCAATGTTCGCCAGGGTACCGTTGGACATCTCGCCGTGTTCCGGAAATGACGGCATAAATTCTGCAGATGATTCGTAGCAAGGTTGGAGTTTGTTTCATGCCTGTCTGCCTTTCCTTTACAAATATGGGGGGGTCCTAAAATAGGAGTACCAGCAAATGATCCAAAATTAGACCATTTTAGTATTGAAACCTATGTTTTTGGGAATCTCCCTTTTTAGGAAACATCCATATCATCACACTTACATGTTTGCAGCAAAACTCGCTATAGACCTCTTCCATACTTGTTCTGAATGGGCAGACTGATTGGACGGCCTTAGTGCATCAAGCGACTGGACAACATTCCATCGAGGAGCTCAACGCACGTGTCGATGCGTCTCCAATTAACCCCCTTACGTACGAAAATTAGTTTCATGGGTCATCATCTCATATCACCTCCCCCAAATATATGGATTCAAAAATTCTCCCCGATAATGGATGGGAAAGATTCACCCTTATAATCATGGTTGCTGGTGGCTTTTTTACACCTTAAGGACCCAAGCATTGTTGAATGGTCACCTGGGTGACCTGACTGTGTGCAGGATTTTCCCAGTGGAATCAGCTAGTTAATCCCTTCATATCCATACTATTCTTGATGTTATGTCCCCAATTTTGCTGGTTAAATCACAGTTTCGAGTCATTCAAAAAGGGTTGGTTGAGTCATTCGTTTTCAGAGAAAGCCAAATAGAATTGTGCTGCTTATGTCAGTCATATCCCATGATCCGTAGAATATCCCAATTATGCACGAAACCCACAGGAACTTGATCCATCCCATGTTATTTTATATCTCATACGATTTCCTCATGATATCGCCATTATACCACTCGAGATGAATTATCATTTCCTCAGTGTGACGTTCCTGGGTGGTGAGGCAAATAGCATGTTTCCGGCGTTGCTCCAGTTTTTTCAGGAGGAATTAAAATTTCCCCAGGATTGAACGAATTTCCCTAACCGCAGCCAAGCTATTTTTGTTGGTGAAGTCCCTGGAGCTGATGGTTGTGTCATCACACGTTACCCCCTATGCTTGATGGCTAAATCATCATCATAAATTGCCACATTTTCCCATACTGTGGATGGTTGCGAAATCTTGCACCAGTTGGTAGATGGTTTATCCCATGATAATCTCATTATGATTCCAGTGCTTCATAGGCATCCGAAGAGTTTAACCAACTGGTGCAGGATGGCTTGTCTATTCACAGTACCATGCTTTCCACATGTTTGAACATGGATCATTATTTATCCATATGTCTGGGTGAATTATAACGACCTCACTGCTCTCCCTCACTGGAATCATGGTTAACAACGGAAATCATCCCCTTTTATGGCCTTAATTCAGGGTAGTGAAATATTAAAATTTACCCAGATATATATATATATGTATATATACATACATACATACATAGATAGATAGATAGATAGATAGAAAGATAGATAGATAGATGGATAGTTATAGATAGTGAGTTATCTAGATCTTTGTTATATTTGTATCTATATATACATTGGCATTTAGCCAGATATGAATCCCCAGGGTTGGGTGGTTTGCCCATGACATTCTCCCAGGAGTTGCAGGAGGTGTCAATGGATCTCAGTGAAGCCTTGGGTGTGACGTGGGCCGAGCAGCTCGTTGTGCAGGTGCTCGAGACATGATGGGTGCGAGGATCTGGGGATGGCTCAAACAAAGGCATTTATAATCTATATATATATATGTATGTATCCATATGATTGTATATAATATGTATAATATGTACAATATGTATAATATGTATAATATGTATAATGTGTATAATGTGTATAATGTGTATAATATGTATAATGTGAACATATATATATATACATATATTATATATATATTATATATATATGTACTCAATATGTATTGGATCCCAGAGATCATTGTGTCCAGAAGGGGTAGAGTAGAGGTAGACTAGAGGTAGACTAGAGGTAGACTAGAGGTACAGTGGAGGTAGAGTAGAGGTAGAGCAGAGAAGACTAGAGAAGAGAAGAGTAGAGGTAGAAGTAGAGCAGAGTAGAGAAGAGAAAAGTAGAGTAGAGCAGACTAGCATAGAGCAGAGCAGAGTAAGGTAGAGCAGAGCTGAGTATAAGTGGAGTAGGGGTACATATATGCCAATGACAATTCCCAATTCCGAAGTTAATTGGTGCATCCCAATTAATTGGAATATCCTGCATATAAGGGAACATATTACTGGAATTACTATCCCAATTAATTCCAAATTACAAAATCTAGATGAATCCCTATGTTTCCCATGAACATTCCCATGCATCTACATAATACGGAAGTTTTCTAAAATGGGGTTACCGGTAGATCATCCATTTATAGATTGATTTTCTACTATAAACCATCCAGCTATTAGGGTACCCGCATGACCATGGAAACCCACCCAGAATGATGGTATGGGAAATACTTGGGATGCAATTGGGATATTAAAATTTACTCAGATATATATAAAGATGTAATGTGGTTAAAACAATAATACACCACCCATTTGGGAATGGTTTCTACTACCTATTTATGGTGGTTTGGGGGATGCTATATTTTTGTTTTAGCCACATTACTATCCATTATTATCCCAGTATACCCCCATTACCCATTATTTTCCGTTATTATCCCAATTACCTCCCATTACAACATTATTCTTAACCATAAACCAATATTAACCAACATTTTTGATATATAAAGTTTTAATATCCCAATTATACCCCAATTATATCCCACTATACCATCATATATCAATGATATTATAGCCCAGTTTTATATTACAATCCACTATACATTATTGCTAAGCATAAATCAATATTAATAAAAATGTATGTATACTGTCATTATACCATCATATTCTACCATCATATATCCAAATTATTGTTAACCATAAACCAATGCTAACCATATATCCCAATTACTGTTAACCATAAACCATTAACCAATATACCTTTGCTTTTCCATTATACATTAACCATAAGATCATTGTTAACCATAGACCAATATTAAGTTATGTTTTACACCATTTTACCACCATTATTGAAGATGATCTCCTTGTGGAAAAGGCGGTGCTGGGCCAAGCCGAGCGCCTGGGCATCCAAGCGCAGTGGCAGCTGCGGCGCCTGGGCTCCGAGGAGGTGCTGGCGCCGGAGGAGCCGAAACGAGACGTGACGGACGCCGAAAACGTGGGGAAAACGTGGGGAAAGCGAGCGATTTACAGGGGAAAACTTGGTGAAAATGGTGAAAAAGGCAAAGAAATGATGCAAAACCATAGGATTTCCTGGGGAAAACAGGTGATAGATCAATGGATGTTTACGATAGAGTCGACGTGGCGATCACAGCCAATGCGGAAAGGTGCTATCAAGGTCTGGATGGCTAAAAAGTTGGATTCAGCTAAGACAAATGCGCGAACATGAGGGTTTCACCACCACGAGAGGGTGAGCAACTAGAATGGAGTCAACCAAAGAAGAAAATGCATTGAGCCAACTAGAATGTGGAACTTTTTACCAACCAGACATAAACACTCAAGAAACCAATACGGGAGACACTTGTACAAGCAACGAACCATTGGGATATTCAACCAAGTGAAGTGGCAACATCACCTCTGAATTTTGCAGTTTAACAAACAAAGTAAAGATATGGTGCTTGCCATCGATGAAAGGTTGAGCCAACCATCAATGTGTATGAACTTCTGATACTTGATGCGAATTTGCCTGCTAAACGAAACTTGCAATCTGATCAGAAAGCGATATCACCAAGAAATGCCGACTAAACCGAGATCTGAGTGGCTAGCTGATGGTGATTTGGAGAAACAGGCCTGCTACTTTTAGGGGACATCCGAGGATAGAAAAGTTGGTTGCAGATAGTCTGGCTCTCATAAAGCCCATCAACCAGTTCGATATATCTTCCATAAACCCTAGTTAGCCAAGTTATAAACCAACTCAGCCCATATAAATCAGATAAATCCACGATAGATCCCCATCTTTGCTCGTGAAATCCCCATTTTTGTGGTTTAATCCCAATTTCCCACGATGTTTGCTAGTGAAATCCTCAAGTTCCCACCATTCGAACAATGTGAAAATCCCCAACGCTTCGCAAACCAGGACTTTGAGTCCAAGTTAAAAGTGCTCAAAGAGTCCAATGGCCAAGCACCCAAGGAGGCTGGCCATGGGAGGTTCTTAAAATGGATCCCCAAGTCACCACGGGTTTCAATACTAAAATTCAATACCTTAGGCGGTTTGGGGATATCCCCATGTGAGGAAACCTCCATATCCAGATATATATATATATACACATAATATCATATGGGGGGTCGTTTTATCAACGGATATGTGTGGGTATGTAACATTGACTTAAAGCTGAGTTCATCGTCACTTTCCAGGAGTGCCTTTCTATTTGTCCTGGAACGAAGCTGGCGTCGGCAGATACAAAAAAAACGTTCTGCAGCAACGTCACCATGTTCTATGTAGGTGTGTGCCTTAAATCAACGACCTGAGTCACTAAGTGTTGCTATGTCCATCTTTTTTTCGTGATATTAGTTATCCCCCATGTGGGGAAAAGAAAGCACTTAGGTATAGATCCATCACCATGTCCTGTTCGGATCGAGCTTCGCCTTCGCCTTCGCCTTCGCCTTTGCCTCGCACAGGTGAAGCTCGGTTTTCTGGTGCCTCCGGGAGGCGCCATGGATGACCATGGTTAGTATTGCAACCACCATGGTGACTTACCGGGATCCTCTAGAAAAAAGAAACCTTTGCAGATTGTTGCCATCAAGCATGTGGATGTAAGCATCGAAAATTAGGGACATGAGGCTTGGACGGAAAAAAGGGGCGTTAAGGAGAAAACAATGGATGTGAATATATGTGAATTTGGGTGAACGAACTGGATGGGCATTAAAGCATCAAAAATTGGTGATTGTTTTACGTTACATGATTTAACAATGAGTTAACCAACAAAAAGTATGGATTCAATCTGAAACAAAGGGAAACTATCTGGGGAAACAAACTGGATGGGTAGTTTGATGCAACTTCATCTTTCGCCATAAGTACAGGAAGGGGTCCCCAAGATAGCGTTCAGTTGCATTATAAGTGGCTTAACTATGGTTTATGGCAGATATAACTAGACTCAATGGGGATTATAATGATTGATAAACCAACTTATAACTGGGGGAGGGCCATCCTGTATGTTTATGTTTCTTTCTACTGACTACCTGAAAATCTAATCGTTTGCATGGTATCTAAGATTGGTCATGATTTGGATTCTCATGGATTAACATCAAAAGGATTGGATTTATACAGCAGCAAAATCTAAATTTAACCTGCAGCGTGGGCGATTTAGGCAGAAATATGGGAAGATGGTTCAGCATTGTTCAACAAAATGATATTCAAGCGTGAAAAACCAATATTGGCCCAACAACAATGGTCATGTGGTTGGATGTTTGAATGGTTCTTGGTTGTTCAGCATATTTGGGATGATTGGTTGAGATGAAATGATCTTCAACCAGCATTATTGATACTATTAATGTGGGTAAAACAATGTCATAAACCATCCCCCAGTCACCATCATTTTTATAGGTGGTATGTTTAGGGTGGTTTATGACATTGTTTTACCCACATTAACCATGATTTGCCATTGGCTGTTTCTTGGGATGCTATTAAAACCACCTGGGCATTGGAAGCCAGGCCCCCAGCCGGTCAGGCCCCCAGAAACGGCCGCGCACAGAGCCGTGACCACCGAACATCCGTGAGAAACGACGCGCCGGGCAGCGGATCCCCCTGTGTTTCACAGCCCCAAGAAATCATTGGAATATATATATATATACATATATATTTATATATATACATATATATATAGTGGTCAATAGTGATTAATAATGGTTAATCTTGTATATATATATTATATATTAATAGTGGAAAAAACAGAAAGCCCTCAAAAAGATGGGTTTGTCTGAAAATAGGGTAATTCTAATGGATTATCATGATTTGCCTATTAAAACAGCCATTTTGGCTATCCACAATTTTCAGACAAACCCCAATATAGAAAAGTGAAATGTTACTTAAATAGTGATGAATCGCTTTTCTGGGCCATGCCTGGATCAAATGTGAGTGTCTTGAAAGAAGGAAGTATCATCCTTGGTGGATTGTTACGAGAGATAGGATCCTTGAATGGTGGATGTTTATTCAGATGATATTAATAATATTTCCTCAAGAATTGGAAGATCTTGGTTTGATTCAAACATCCACCACGTTGATAGTGTCCCACTTTGAATCTTGGACCAACGGCTCCCATGTTCCTCTCGACTCCGCAGCTTGGTCCGGCCCTGGGTCGGCTGTTGAGGGCCCATTTGTTCACCCGCACGGTGGAAGAAACCATCTCATACCCCAGCAAAAATGGCATGAAACCGTCCCCAAGTTACTAAAGGCCCAAAAGATTCAGCAAGAAATCCAACACGGCCCGCATTGCTGTGCCCTGTGCCATCGTCACATCCCGCAAGAGAACATCTGGGTTGTAGATCGATGGCAGAGGTCGTTGGCCATGAGGCGGGGGTTAAATGGGGTACCCCAACAGCTGGATGCTTTAGTTCATGGAAAATCTTATTTAATCGATGATGAACATATGGGGGGTTCTTAAACTGGAAGTACCCAAAAATGGATGGCTTATAAATGTTTATACTGGAAAATCTGAAACTAAAATGGATGATTAGTGGGGTGCCCCCATGACTTAGGAAACCTCCATATGCCTGGATTTGCCGATTTTTTTTCAGGTAAGTTCGTAGTGACCTCACGTCGTGACCTCACTGGAACTATGGTTAGGTCTGGGGGGAATCATCCCCAAATGGACTTACTATTTCATGTTAGTGAAATATTACAACTTACCCAGATTTTTTGTATTTTCCCAATGGGAAATCAATCGGGAATATTTTGTGTTTTTGTTGGATTCCTCAAGCAAGTCCAAGTATGTACGATGGTCAAAATCGCATTTTTTGCCAAAACAAATGATATCATGTGATTAACCTTGGAACTATTCCCTCATACATGGCTGGGAAATCCCCGAGCCAAATGGAGTTGTATAGTTGGGAAAATCATCGAACGAATTGAGGGATGTTCCAGCAGGCCATGTTTGATTACCGGAGGGTATACATTTCATCATCCCCACGATAGAAGAGCAAATCCCGGCGAATAATATGATGATGTACTTCTCTATGTGTTTGAGGATGGCTACATGTTTTATCTATACACCGGGTTTTTAATGAAACATGTAAAGGTACATGCATAGTTTTGTCCCTCATCATAACTCATCATTCTCTTCTGAAATTTCAACAGTTTCACCACACTTGCGCTGTTGCCCTCCGGTGATCTAACATAGCCCTGGAAAATTGGCCATTGAAAATGGTAATAGTCCATGTTGAATTACCACAGATGTTTGCACGTCGTTTTTAGCGATGACCGGAACGGGGTTTTCCGGAACGGGTTGTGAACGGGTGATAGCGATAAACGAAAGAATCTTCTACATCTCAGTACAAGTATGTACAAGTATGTACAAGTATATATGTCATTTTTGTATAGAAGTATGTGTACGAAACGGTATTTTTCTAAGATTCACATCTTTAAGAGACAAAATACATAGAAAGCTAGACTTCCCTTGGAAGTCTATCGTTTTTCTAAGTACACATTCACATCCTCCCAATAGATTGCTGTGCAATTTCTCCCATCATCATGCCACGCCACGCTGCGATGGAGGAAGGTGACGGTGGCGACCTAGAGAAAGCGACTGTGGTCGTGGCTCTCGAGCAGTTAGAAAGATGTCGAAAACCAGGAAAGCCGTTTGGAAAGTTATGTACATTCATGTTGATTTAATGGTGATTTTTTGGTTAAGAATGGGAAAATAAGCAACAATAATGGATGAATAATGGATAATTGCAGGATTTACCCTCCAGTATAAACCATTGGTATAGAAAATCAGGGAAATGATGGGTAGAATGACGGTATGATGATGGGTATATTATGGAAACGGTGTGTTTTCGACATCTATGTAAACGTGTACAAAAGGTTTTGTGTTCTGAATAAACCGAAGGGATGGGTATTTGAATTTGAGTACTTTTAATCACCTTTTTTTATTGGTAGATGTATTTACTAAACAGCTATTTCAACTGGAGTCAGAAATCCTGTCGCTCACCCAGAGGTGTGTTGGAGAATTCAGTGGCCCTTGTGTGTTCGTGACCGAGACGGTCAAGTTGTGGGCTTTGAACACCGCCAAAGAAAAAGTATCAAAAAGGAACTTCTAACCTCATAAACTCTTCAGCTAATCAAACAACTACTTGCCCCCCAACCAAGATCAATTAAACACAACCTAGCTACTTATTGCTCATTCCTCGCATGCAATGGTCCTTTTCTTGGATCACACATGTCCTCATCAGCCAGACCCTCCATGGGGCACTCATCCTTCTCCCAGAGTTTGATAATTTTATCCCAACCCTCTCCCCCATGAATTCAACCCATGAACTCCTAAGTGACTCTGATGGGTCATGGAACTATGAGATGGCACATGATTTGCATATTGGTGGCCATGAGAATCCATGTGGCTTGCATCCATCTTATCATGGTTGAGGAATCAGAGATGAGCATCATTTTCATATCCATGAATGATATGGGCAACAGCAGCAAGATCCTCTTGGATGAGTTGATCGGCAACACCATCGCATGGCAACAATTCCATGCTGGACGCAGCCGAAATGAACGTTGTTTCATGTTTCATCCAATGTAGCATGTACAAAAGGCAAATACGGCTGGTGCAACAGCACAGGCCGCGGTTGGTATGCTGGAAATCGAGGAGGCAAGAGGAGGACAGATTGTGATGTGCTTCTCTCATAAACAAACACCTTCACCCAGGTGAACTGCTGACTTTGTGCCGGGAAGGTACAACCCAAACCTTGAGCGCCCAAGGTTGTGATCTACTTTGCCAGCTTCAGCAACACCGGTGGGGCCGGCGCGAGGTGACAGCAAAGTCATTGCGTGAGAAGGTGGTGGGTTTCTGCTATAGCCAACACTGGTCTGAGTGTGCGACCTTTGAGTGTTGATGATGATGCCACCGCGGTGCAGCTCCAAAGACCTTGAAAGTCAGCCCAGCGGAGCCATTGGGATTCATCCGTGGACACCATCAGTTCCTGGCTGTGCTGGCTATGTTGGAGTTCTGTGCCTGCTTTTGACGGTTGAGTGTGTAGCAAGGTTTGTTTTTGAATTTGTGTAGATCTTTTACCGTCTGAGATTGGATGAGATGGGACAAAATATAACACAAATATGATATGGCATGATGCAGTAAATAAGGTAATGTAGAGTGCATGTTTTTGGTGACACGTATTTCTACAACCGTGTAGGCGTTGATATTTTTGTTGTCACCGCACATGGATAGTATAGGTGGGGGGCTGGGGTGGGGTGGGGTGGGGTATTTTGGGCTAAAAACGTCCATGTACGCTTGCGGAACTACGTCATGCTACGTTAATGTAACGTTCTTGCACGCTTGCACATCTACGCAGTGCTACGTTGATGCAATGTTCTTGCACGCTTGCACATCTACGCAGTGCTATGTTGATGTAACGTTCTTGCACGCTTGCACAAAGACGAAAGTTGCAGGAGCCCAACAAATTGATCCTTGTTGGAACCACCTCAAAAAATTTGCCCCAGTCAGATGAAGGACTGCACTGGCCCAACCATCAGTGCTAGATTCTGGGATAGAATCTTTCAGTGGATCTATCCCCACATCATGTCTAAGTGAGATATGACGACCACATGTGAGTTTAAACTTTTCGTCGTCTGATGAAGAAATTTGTCATTGAAAAAATGACAAAACGTGAGGCGTTTTGGCACATGGGTGTCAAAAACACGCGGTTGTGTAAATCCGTGTTACCATGTTCTTTGTGTGTTTTTTCATGATTATGTTCTTTTTGCCATGCCTTTTCCCATGCTTCTGCAGCTGTTGCTTGACTTGGGGGGGCCGGCGTTGGCAACTTCGTTCTGCTCTCTACCCATAAACCCCAAACGAACCCCGCAGGCAAATGTGATATTTGGGGATGTTTGAACACAAGGAACACCCAAAAAAGTTACCAATTGAAATAAAGTTTAGCTAACATTGGCAATCATGGGGCTTAGGGCTTTCACATCCTGATTTTACCCATATTTTGCCTTCGTCTCCCTTCATGGATTTCATGCCATCGAACAAAAACCTGTGAAGCCAGAGGTGGATTTTATGGCGGATTGGATCTCAAAAATGGAGGCTCCGGGGAGGATGGTCTCAACTCAGCATTTCATGCAGGTGGATGGCTTAAGCACCCAAATCGTAAGCTCAAAAATGTCTTTCAAAAAGGAATACAAACTAGAGAACCTAGATTTGTTAACTTCAGCAAGTATCTATTCCAATTCTTCAGGAAGAAATCGTCATGTTCAGCAAAAATATCATAAATCCATTAGCTGGGTGGATGGTATACAATCTATGGCCAGTTAATTATCACTCAACAATAGTTTAATGTTCATGTGTCCCTCATGATATACTATTGTTGTTAATATCATGGTTATGCCATTAAAGCAGCATGTTTGTGTAGACGTTTGCTGGTTTTACCACATGATACCTCCATTGCTGGTATCGTCAGTTACTCACCATTATAAAACAATTATCCCGGCAAGAGACCCCAAACAGTTTGGGGGAGTGAGAGGATAATGTATGATCATGTTGTTGATGATGATGGTGACAACAACGATGATGATGATGATGATGATGATGATGTTGATGATGATGACGATGATGATGATGATGACGACGACGATGATGATGATGTTGATGATGATGATGTTGATGATGTTGAGGATGATGAGCTGCAGGATGATGAGCTGCAGGATGGTGACGTTGAGGATGATCCAAGATATGGCACTGCAATGAAAGCAGCCCCAGGCTGCAGAACAAAGCAAAAACTTGCAAATGTTAAAAAACCATTTGCACCCCGTAGCCTGCGGCACCCTATACCTAGGGAACGTAGGGTAGTGTAGGGTAACGCAGGCTTCCTCCAAAAGTGAAAGTTTACAGGTCCAAAACAAAGCAATTCTGCGAGACGTCCTCAAAAATAGATGCTCACAGCTCCAAAACGAAGAAATTCTGCAAGACTTTCCTTCAACAGTGAAAAGTTGTGTGCAGAGTTTTCAGGCTTTTAAGGAACTCTGAGATCACTGCAGTCGATCATGCGCAATGGCCTGAAGCTCAGCCTGCAGAAGCCTAGAATATGGCCTTTGGTGATCTACCTCTATCAACAAATCGAGATGGAGACGCAGAAGATCCGCGCAGAGAGAAACTCGCAGTCAGTGCCCTTTGGAGCCGTTCACGTGCTGACTCTGGTGAACTTCTGAGGTGGAGGATGATGATGATGATGGTGGTGATGATGACGATGATGATGATGGTGATGATGATGATGATGACGACGACGGTGATGACGATGTTGATGATGATTGTGATGGTTGATGATGATGATGATGATGATGGTGATGGTGATGGTGATGATAATGATGATGATGACGATGATAAATATGATTGGTAATGATAATGGTTGGTGGTGATGATGATGCTGATGATGATCATGACGACGATGACGATGGTGGTGATGATGATGACGACGATGACGATGGTGGTGATGATGATGACGACGATGACGATGGTGGTAATGATGATGATGATGATGAAGATGAAGATGAAGATGAAGATGAGGATGGAGATGAGGAGGAGGAGGAGGAGGGGATGAGGATGAGGATGAGGATGAGGATGATGATGACGATGTTGAGGATGGTGATGTTGAGGATGATGCGGTTGAGGATGATGCTGTTGAGGAGGATGAGGATGAGGATGATAATGCGGAAAATGAAGTGGAGGATAAACAGGTTGAGGATGATGATGTTGAGAAGGATCATGACGATGATGATAAAATGGATGAAAATGTTGATGTTGCAGAAGGTGAGGTTGGAGGTTGAAGATGTTGAGTGAGGTCAAAGGGGAGGAAGATGATGTTGAGAATGATGATGTTGAGGGGGAGGACGATGATGTTGAGGAGGAGGACCGGTCCCAAGACCGAGACCCACACTTTGTGCGAGCTTGCGCAATCGAATTGCACTTGGTCGTTTCACAACTGCCATTTTGTGCAAAAATTTACATTTAAAATGCCGCAGGCCAAGACCGGAGACCACACTTTGTGCGAGCCTGCACCGTCGAAATTCATTTCGACATTGCACAAGAAGCATTTTATGCAAGAATTTACAGGTAAAATGCCGCGGACCAAGATCGCGACCCACACTTTGTGCGAGCCTGCGCAATCGAAATGCACTTGGACATTGCACAAGAAGCACTTCATGCCGCGGAAAATGCACTTGGAATTTGCAGGTAAAATGCCGCGGATTAGCTGGAGCTGGAGCACCCAGACCGGGGACCGCACTTTGTGCGAGCCTGCGCCTTTGGACATTTCACAAGAGCCATGTTATGCGGAAAATTACAGGTAAAATGCTGCCGACCAGCTGCAGCACCCTGATCAAGCACCGGCCTTTACACCTACCGTAAGAATCCATCAGTGTGGACACACTGTTTGGGGAAAAAAATAACCATCCATACATCACTATACTCCCATGAGAACCCTCTTTTGCTGGTCATACCCTGCTACATCTCCATTATATGGTACGCCCGCTGGTTTCCTTCTATACACACCATGTCAACTACACCTTTACTATTTAGAATTCCAACATACTACATGTTGGTCATTTCATAGCCATATTGGTATGACCAGTTCATAATCATTATTTTACCACAGGTATACCCAGTTCCCTATATACCTTGTATATTCCATCTTTGCTGATGATACCTCCTTTAAAGCCTCAC